TCTATATTTCTAAATTCTAGCAGAACCACGTATAGTCCTAATAAATGTTGCTTAATGAAAATATCTCCAGTAAGTTACTCATTAGCCCCACTACTACCTTAGTCCATCTCAAATTATACTTTATCTATAGACCCCAAATGATAATGATCAAGCAATTTCCATTGCTCTTAAAATAAAATGTAAAATTAACATGGCCTCCAAAGCCTTAGAACTTCACCTTTTTCTATTTTCCACCACACCAGTCTTCTTTAGCTCTATAAGCAGCCTCAGCACATGATATTCTCAAAGCTCTGACTCATCTCCAAACCATGCCTTTCATTCAACCCCATTCACCCCTCAGGTCTCAAATTAAACTTCAATGCTCTTGTGAGCATTTACAGACCTTTATAGATCTCTAAGTTAGCCACGCCCCCCCATCGCGTAATCAAATACCCTTCCTTCATAGCACAATGCCTCATTGGGCACCAATATTCGTTGAATAAAAGAAAGTAATTGTGAAGGCGAAAGCTACTCCCCTTATATGGAGGATGTTATATAATTTGGGACAACAAAGTTTGGTTTCATCCTGAGAGATTACTGAACCGCAAAAGTCAAAAGTCAATGTGAACTCCAATCAGTAAGGCTAATTCATTGCAACTTAACCAAAATAAGTTATTATGAATGCCACTGCCTCTTTTCTGAATACATATAAACAGGCCTTAGGTAATAGAACTTGATAAAAACAGCTCATTATGTAACCCATATCCCAAGCTTACAAATAACTATCTCGGCTCCTCAGTAGTCAAGGACTTATAAGGGCTTGAAATGATACATAATTTTTTTCTTTCCATGAAGACTTTAATTTTTAGAGCAGTTTAAAAAATTGAACGAAAGGTACAGAGATTTCCCATCCTCCCCCATACATGCATAGCCTCCCCCATTATCAACATTCCCCACCAGGATGGTGCATTTGTTACAGTTGATGAACCTACATCAGCACATCATAATCAACCAAAGTCCACAGTTTACATAGGGTTCACTCATGGTGTTGTACATTCTATGGTTTTGGACAAATGTATAATAACATTTATCCATCATTATGGCATCATACAGAGTGTTTTCACAGCCCTAAAAATTCTCTGTGCTCTGCCTAGTCATCTCTCTTCCCCTCCCACTAACCCCTGCCAAATACTGGTTTTTTTCTGTCTCCATAGTTTTGCCTTTTCCAGAATGTCATATATTTTGACGTATACAGTACGTAGCCTTTTCAGATTGGCTGCTCTCACTTAGCAATATACATTTAAAGTTCCTCCACATCTTTTTATGACCTAATAGCTCATTTATTTTTAGCACTGAATAATATTCCATTGTCTGGATATACCATAGTATACTTATCCATTCACCTACTGAAGGACACATTGGTTGCTTCTGAGTTTTGACAATTGTGAATAAAGCTGCTGTAAACATCCATGTGCAGGTTTTGTGTAGACATAAGTTTTCAACTTCTTTTAGCACTTATCAAGGAGCACAATTCTTGGGTCATATGATAAGAGTATGTTGAGTTTTGCAAGAAATTGCCAAACCGTCTTCCAAAGTGGCTGTATCATTTTGTATTCCCACCAGAAGTGAATGTGGGTTCCCATTCCTCCAAATCCTCACCAGCATTTGCTATTATTAGTGTTCCAGATTTTGGCCCTTCTAATAGATATATAGTGGTATCTCATTCTTTTAATTTGCATTTCCCTGATGACATATAATGTAGAACATCATCTCATGTGATAAATTGCCATCTCTGGTGATGGCATCTATTAAGGTCTTTGGCCTATTTTTAAATCCGATTCTATTAATATAATTTTGTGTGAGTTATCTAGACTCTATCTGCTTCAAATTCCTCATCTGTGTCTGGCATATGTTGGCCATTATTAAGCGCTAGATGCTAGTGAGAGTGGTGAAGACACAAAACATAGTCCCTGCCCTCATGGGATTTCTATTCTAATATAGCGATTTTTAAAAAAAAAAATGCTTAAGGGGACTAGATAGCCCAATCGGAAATATATGAAGCTACTTGAGCAGTTCTCAAAATGTATTCTGCAGACACCTTTAAGGGTGTCTATGAGATTGAAACTATTCTCATGATAATACTAAGACATCATTTGCCTTTTTCACTGTATTGATATTTGCACTGATGATGCAAAAGCAATAGCAGGTAAAACTACTGGTGCATAAATCAAGGCAGTGACAAGCAAACCATTGTAGCCATCACTGCATTCTTCACTTTACATACCCACTATAGATAAAACCAATTTCCCTTAAAAATGTCGATAATAAAGCCATAACATTAATTTTATTAAATCTGGACCCTTGAGTACATGTCTTTCAAATATACTGTGTGACAAAATGAGAAGCACTCATAAAGCACTTCTGATTGTATATCAAAATATAATAGTTGTCTCAAATAAAAAGAGATTGAGTTATTAGCTTTTTTTCATGGAACACCATTTTTACTTGAAAGTATGACTCTCAAAAAAAAATTATTCAGACTTAAGTATCTGGCAGACATTTACTTAAAAATGAAATGACTTTGTCACTTCAAAGAAAATAACTCACTGTACTTCTCACTAATAAAAATTAGAGCTTTCAAGAGAAAATTAGAATCTTGAACTACTTGTATCAACAACCATAAGCTTGCCAGCTTCCCAATACTTAAGGATTTTTCTGATAAGATAGGTAGCGATATTAATATAATCACTTTTTTCTCTTGTGTAATAAAATATGTCAATGTTTGGAAGTTCTGTATAACTCGGAGAACCAGTATCACTCAAGTGACCAAAGCATAATGTTACAGAATCATGCACAGTTAAAAGATCCCTTTGAAGTATAAGGAAGACCAGTGGATTTTAATTTGCATTTAAAAAAATGCAAATTAAAGTTCGAAAAAATTCACTGGTTTCAAATTCCACATTACAACTAAACTTTAAGAAATTACCACTTGTCAAGTTTTGGTACATTACCAGAGACCATTCACAAATGTCTAAAAAAATTTATTAAAATATTTCTCCCTTTTCCAACTACATAACTGTGTGAGGCACAGTTTTCTTCATACTTCAACTAAAAAATATATTACAACGTATTAATGGCAGATGCGGATGTGAGAATCGAGCTCTCTCTTAAGCCAGAGATTTAAGAGATTTGCAAAAATGTAAAATAATGCCATTCCTCTAGTTAATTTTTTTGTTTTGGAAGCTATGCCATTTTTCATAAAATGTGTTATTTGTCTTAACACGGATTAGCTTATTATTCTTTTAAATGAATTTTTAAATTTCTTTTTTATGATACCAGCAATTATGATCAATGTAGCTCACACAAAACAAACTCTTTGTAATCCTTAATAATTTGTAAGGATATCAAGAGGTTCTAAGATCAAAAAGTTTTCGAGTCACTGTTCTAGAGAAGACTTCAGCAAATTTTTCCTGTAAAGGGTTTGATATAAACATTTTAAGGTTTGATGGTAAACATTTTAGGCTTTGAGGCCGTGTTGTCTGTGTAGCAACCACAGAATTCAGCAGTGTAGCTGGAAAGCAGCCACAGGACAACACTAAATGAATGGAAGTCTTTGGACTCAGACCCCTGGGAATGTTGCTGTGCAAGAATATTAAACCAGTATTGCTAGATCAACCAATTTGTGGAGTTGATAACTCTCAACTGTGTATTTTGTCTCAAATTCAAAACAAACACTGTGCCAGACCATTAGTTTTCATTCTGGGGTCTACCAAATAAAACTGACAGCTGGACTCATCTGCCTATTTGTCTACCAATAACACAAATCTAATTTTTCTTGGTATATTCACTATGGTGTCTCAAGTTATAGAGAGTGGTAACATCATCGAACTTTAATATTCAGAAATGCAGTCAACCCTTATTGAAGGAATAAAAAGTAATTCAAACAGCAAAAGACAAATTTAAAGTAATTCAGTCATTGATTTGAGAAACTATGAAGAGTTTCTGGATGAAGTTTACTTAGGTGAAAGTCTAAATAAGTAAAGACTGGTCTTTGAAGAAGATGCTTTGATTTAACCACTCGAGTAACCTTCTGAATGAAATGAAGTCTATCTTGCCTCTCCTTCCTCATTTCTATTTTTCTACCGCAGTTAATACAAACCCCATAGAAGTTATGATCACGTACTCCATTGCTTTGCTTGTGTGTCTCTGCATGAAGCACCTTGGGCACTGTGTCAGTTTGATATCCCCAGCACCAGGCACAATGCCTAAGTCAAATTAAGAATTTAGTTTCTGTAGAAGGACTTGGTAATCTCTTGGGTGATCTTTAAATCAGTCCCTATACTATGTGCTGGGAATAAAACTTTGAAATACAACTGTATGCTTCCTCTCCGTACTGCGAAATAAAAGAAGCAGCTCTACGGAGCAAATGATTCTGTAAACACTTAATTCATCTAAACAACCGGCCAAAATCAAACAGTAGCGACAAACAAATAGAAAAGCCTGATGAATTTTAATTTACGCTGAAACTCATAAGAATTGTGAAATTTTGGTTCATATATAACTTTGTGACAACAGGCTAAGTCCTCAAAAAAAGAATTTAATTGAAGGACCAAAAAAATTGACGCACATACTCAAATAGCTGCAGTTGCGGGATTCGGACCCGCGAAGCTCGAGGCAAGAAGATCCAGCGCGCGCTAAGCCCACCGGAACCGGAGCAACCTGCGCGGCCCCCACTGCCCGCCTCCCACCTACCCGGTCCCTTCTCCCCCTTCCTCCCCTCCTCTCCCAGCCCTGTCCAGTCCCTCGCCTTCTCTTTCCCCTTCCCCATTTTCCTTTCCCCTTTCCTTTCTTTCCTTCCTTAGACAACCTCCTTCGATTGCCCCTCCCCAACTCCCAGACACCCAACTAACCCCTCGAAGGTGCTTGCCGCTCACTCGCCCCATCCCTAACGTCCAGCCCCTCCCAACAGCTTTCTCCACGCAACTCCAAACGGACGCTTCAAATTCCCCACCTGAGGAAGCGGAAGTGCGTCATGCACAGGCGCCGAGGCGCTCGTTTGGCGCGCGCGCCCTGAGCCACGGTTCCGAGCTAGGGTCTTGGGTTTTGTCTCATTTCTCCTTGGTTTTTGACTATTTTCGGACGTTGGTGTCTCGAGTTTTCAAGATGCCGTCTTCTTTGCTGGGTTCTGCGATTCCGGCATCCGCGACAACCGCAGCCCTGCAGGAAGCTTTGGAAAATGCGGGGCGGCTCATTGACCGTCAGTTGCAAGAAGACCGCATGTACCCGGACCTTTCCGAACTGCTCATGGTGTCTGCTCCAAGTGAGTGTTTGGTGCCTATTTGGTGACTCTTCTTTCGCAGTCAGAAGGACTCTCGCCTGACTCCTTAACTAGGTCCTTATTGCCTTGGTGGACCCGGCGAAGACATCTTGAAATTTAGGGCGCTGTTTCCTCCATTTAGAAGAGCGAAAAAGAGCCTATTTTCATTTTTTCCCCGTCCTCGCTTTCTTCATTGCAGATATTTCAGAGGGTAGGAGTGAAGAGCAGCCCCATTTGAAACTTTAATGGGCTGCTCACTGCCTCCAAGTGTTTATCGCTAAGGTCAGATGGGGAGGAGCGCCTGATCCAAGTCTCATCTTTGTTAATTACTCGTATTACTGTTAGGGTAAAATGCAAGCGCAAACGAAGTTCATTTGGAAATTTACCATGTTCTCTCAAAGATATGTTTTATTATGTGTATGTAGGGTTAGTGTAATATGAAGTGCTGGAAAGTAACTACCAATGGAATAAAGAAAGAACAGGGGAATCAACGATGATGATGGACAGGGAGGGTAAGGCAAAGTATGTGCCAACAAGAGAGGTGACTGGAAAATGTTTTGTTAACGGTTTTAAAGTATGGCGGGGCTCCTCAAGGCATGTGGAATTCCATAAGTTACTAGAAAAAAGTGACTCCTTTGTGAGATGGATTGGAGAAAAGCAGAGAAGTGTAAGTAAGAGAGAGACAAGAGTTTTAGTAAGCGAAAACCAAGATAAAATGACGGGATAATCTGTGCAATGTAAACCTAAAAGACACCTCTGACGACGTCTAAAAATTTTTAATTGAGTCTACGGCCATGCCACCCTGAACAGGCCGGATCCTATCTGATCTCGGAAGCTAAGCATGGTGGGGCCTGGTTGTACTTGGATGGGAGACCACTTAGGAAGACCAGGTGCTGTAGGTGTAAAAAATTTTTTAAAAAATAACGGATTGTAAGATGACAAGGTCTTTGCAATCTGTAAGGTCAAACAAAGCTTGCCTCGCCAAAAAAAAAAAAAAATGAGAAGACTCGTAATCAGAGAAGAGATAAAAACATAGCAAAGATAGTATTTGTTGCTGACAGCTACTTACCAGTGGGCTTGTCTTAAGAGCTGAGTGGCCTATTAGCATCTCTCCTCTTGACAGCATTATTCACTTTGACCTCCTTAGGTTTGAAAGCAAGATATAAATACAGTCCATACATTCTGGTCCTTCATCATATCTGACCCTATCCTCCCTATCCACTTTTACGCACACCTACCTCTTAACCTAATCTCTTCCCCTGCTTCTGTCCTATTCTTAGCCTCTTCTAATCACACTGAATTTTACCTGTTTTCCATAAGAAGCACCCTCTTCAGGATTTTATTTTACTTGTATCCTTAATCGTTTCTGGGATGTTCTTTTTTGCGTGACAAACTATTCTTCCAGACTCCCTTAAATATCACTTTCTTTGTGAAGATTTTCTTAACCATTTACATCCTCACCAGTTATTCATTCCATTCTTGTGTCTCCACTGCCATTTAACACGTGCATTGTTGTATTATAGTTGTTTCAAGATGAGTTGGAATGTGGGATTTGCTTTAAAAAAATCCACTAGGGAACGAGTGGTTAGTGATATAAATGAAACAGGTTTGGGCATGTTATTGGTAATTGTTGAAGCTGGATAATCAGTACATAGGGATTGATTTTATTTTTCTCTAGTTTATATATTTTTTAAATTTCTATAATACATTTAAAAATACATTTAAAAATTGTTTTACATGTAAGTTTTCCCCAACATCTTTGTACTTTAGAAAAGGTGCCCGGGATAACAGGCAATGAGTCAGATCTGAAGAATACCTTATTCAAGGCTAGGAAAGATAGGCACTCCTGCCCTTAGTGTCTGGGTCTCAGATCAAGAGAAAGGTTGCCAAATGAGAACATTTTATAGTTTGATTTTTCTCAGTAAAATATTGCTTCCGTGGTATTTATCTTACTGATCTAGGGGAGAAATCTAATGGAAAAAGGAATGGGTTGTTTTAATCTGTAAATGTTTAAGTGGGAAAGGAAATAGCTATTTTTCCTCCAATCAATATTGAGTTTGTCCACAGTTGTTTGATCTGAGACTCACAAAGCAGTTTTATATGTATGTGTGTATATATACATATATATTTATCATTTTAGTAAAATAATAGAAAAACATTAAATTATTGAACTAACCATTTCCTTTTTTTATGGCATAGTCCTTAGGAAAGATAGCCTTCTGTTTAGTGCTGAAACCACTGATTGCTCCCACTTTAACTTTGGAATTTCTCAGGTCTCCTTTGTATCAGGTCAGAACTACTTTATTCTCCCTTTACCTTGAGAATCACCAGATGCACATTTTTTTTGTAGCTTGCAATGCTTCTATGTGTCCAGTCGATGCCCAACACATTATTAATTTTAAATAAAGGCTTCATTTTATTTGTTGTAGATAATCCCACTGTTTCTGGCATGTCAGATATGGATTATCCTCTACAAGGACCTGGTTTGCTGTCAGTACCCAACCTTCCAGAGATCAGTTCCATCCGAAGAGTTCCTCTCCCACCTGAACTTGTTGAACAATTTGGACGTATCCTATTACTTTTTATTTAACTCTTTAAAAAAAATTTAAATTGATATTCTCATAATTCTTATTTTGTGTTTAATTGCGTGTTGTATTTAAGTTCATTTAAGAGTTTTGTTTAAAATACATTTAAGTACATGGATAGCTTACTACGTGCCTCAAAATTTTCATGTAAAATTTAATGTTGAAAATTGAGTCACATTTTAATTGAGGTCATTGGGGACAGTTAATTGTTTACAAGAAACTGCATTTTTGAATGATGTTATTGCAAAGTATTACTTCCCAGTTAAGTACTACATGAGAAAGTTTTTACTGTCGCACTTTTAGCTCAAAAGACCTGTGATTTTCATCTTTATTTTTTACCATATTTTAATATTTTGAAACTGGAATGTGGCTCTAAATATGTTTAAAAAACTGCCAGGTGTTTCTTTTTTCTCCTCCCAAAAACGTTTTTGGTGTGGTTTTACACTTACTGGTGTCTTAGAATTGAAGTTGTTTATATGTGATTTTTATTTCTAAGGATCACAATAAGAATATGTATATAATGATATAAGGAACTGAAATACTAATTGCATCTTCAGAGATTTAGCTAGAGGAGTTGTCTTAACCTCTAAAAAATTTTTATCTGATTTTCTTAAAGTGTGGCATATCCTATGAAAGCACTAGATTTATAATTATTTGCTGGGCAACTTTTACATTCATCTGTAGTTCTCATAATAAAGACATCAAGATGCTGTATTAAAATTTAATCTGAGACTTTTAAAAGTATTAATCTATTTAGAGTAAAAGGGTTTCATATTTCAGTGCAGCATGATTTAGAAAAAAGGAAAATTAGAAAAAAATGCTTATAAAAGAAATAGAAAACCTAGTAAAATCTAATAGATATTTTTCCTAAAATTTTCAGTGTTCCTCTGAGACTTTGTAAAATAGTGTTATTAAATATGTTATCCACTTTATCCTTAATATTCTTAATATTCTTTTTTAATTCTCTGATAATACTGTACTCTGCAAGAGACATTTCCTTTAACTGGGAAATTATTTTGTTTTCATAATTGTTACATTGTTTTATAATTACACAATATAAATCTTTGCCTATTTTTCAATGGCACTATTTATAAGAGGCTTGCAAATTGTCACCTAGCTATGACTTCAGTATACCCTGTGCTTTTTTTATCATTCTCGCTCTTCTACAGTTGGAAAAAACTGGTTCAGCATAAGCTTTTTAATGTCAAAGTTCAATGATGTTATTCATAATATTCTTTTTTAAGTTAGTAACGGTAAAAAAAATTATATTTGTGCAGAATACATTTGAAGTAGACAAATAGCATTACTAAGATTATAATTTGTAAATATTTGTCATATACTATGGCTTTCATTAAACTGATTAGAAATCAAGATATTTTATTTGTTCTCTGTTAAAGAGTGGACAGGTCATGATTTTTTTATCATAAATTTTAAATCAAAATTTTTTGAAACAAGTTTAAGAAAGATGAGATCGAAATCTTTCTTACATCCACATATCTCAGATATGCAGTGTAACTGCATGATGGGTGTGTTTCCTCCTATCAACAGAGCTTGGCTCACAATTGACAGTGACATATTTATGTGGAACTATGAAGATGGGTAGGTATTTAAGGCTGCCTTGCTTTAACATGATTTGAATTTAGATTGTCTTTATTGTAGCTGGTGTTCTACTCATTAGAAGCTAGCTGATTTATCATTCATTCGTCTAACATCTGACTCAGTGCTTCTCAATGTGTATACCAATCACCTGGGGATAGGGTTAAAATGTGGAATCTAAATAGTTCTGAGTGAGGTTCAAGAGTGCATTTGCAACATGCTCCCCGATGATACTGCCATTCGAAGTACCACTCTGAGTAGGAGGGGTCTAGTTCCCAAGCTCTTTATCCTGCAGTAAAGATAATCTATCAGTAATTCTATGAAAGATGGTTTGACATTTTAAACACTTCTGTTTTCCTTGCATTTCTGTGGAGTGGGAAACTTGATTTATTGGAGTGACTTAACTCTTTTGTTATTCTGTGGGCTTGACCTATGTGTAAATTAAATGTATATAACAGAGTCTGAGTGAGGGCCCAAGGTATTCTTGCTTAAAGTTTATTGATCTGGTGATCTCACTCTTGGCTTTTGGAGATAACTTTTGGCTTACTTCGAGTTCATCATATTATCATTTGGTGACGTGTGGGATAAGAAGACCTATATAGTTAAGATGTTACTCTTACCCCTGACTTATTAATGCACTTTTTAGAAATCAACACACACACGCAGGCGTGTGCACACACACATCAACACTAACAACACGGTATCACTGAATCAAAATTGACAATAAGTGAGAACTTGTACCTTAAATGAAACCATTTTTGTTTGCTTATTTTTTTATTAGAACTTTTCAAATCTATTGTTGAAACGTTATATAGTCATGATAGCAATGATGTGTTGTGATTGTTCTCCTTACATCCTGAACTTTGCCCCAGATTGTTATATTACCATAATATCGGATAAAACCTCTTCATTTAGGCATGGATTTCCTCAAGAAAACCAAATGCAAAAAAATTACATAATAAATGTTAAGAATAATTTTAAAAGGGTTTTCACTTTAATGAAAATTTTTGTGTTTTCCATTAATATCTAACCTACTCATTCATTTAAGAAATATATTGAGCTTATCATATATCAGATACCGTTTTGTGCCAGGAACAGGCCAACCTTACTGTGTGTTCAACTTAGAACTTATATAAAGAAAAATCGTTTGAACAATGTGCTTATTGAAAAAAATCGAGGCACAAATACCAGCTATAAATCCTTAGTTCACAAATTCAATTCTGCATAAACTTTAGGCTTAGTTTTAGTTATTCTTGTAGCTTTCTATTATAAATCCTAACTCCATCTGGATGATAGAAACATAATGTTGTTCAATTCATTGTTCTCTAATCCTCAACTTTCCCAGTATTGGTCTCGTTCCCAGGGTTATGCCAATTATTAAAGGAGTCTGTGTGATGCCACAGCAAGAGGAAATGGAGAAACCTGGTCCACATAAGCAGCCATTTACATGTTTCTTTTCTGTTTGATTTGCATTGTCCATTTCAGGACAACCAAATTTTCTTTAAAGTCTGGATCGTATATTTTTTTCTTATTTTGTTTGACGTTCTGAGCTTCTTGGATCGTGGCTTTGAGGTCTTTCGTTATTTTTGGAATTTTTTGCATGATCTTCAAATATTTGTTCTGCTCTGTTCTTTCCCTCTCTCTTCTTCTGAGATTTCAGTTACATTTTTGTTAAACTTTTTGATATTGCACAACAGATTTTGGATGCTCTGTTTTGTTTTTCATTTGTCCACTCTTTTTTTTCTCTTTTTGTTTCAATTTGGATAATTTCTGTTGACCTAACTTCAATTTCACTGATTCTTTTTTTAGCTATGTGAAGTTCACTGAAAAGGTCTTAAACGGCTTTCTTTCTCTGCTTTTTCTAACATTTTCTCTACACTTTGGCCCCTTGCTCTACTGTCATTTGAGACTTGCAGTGGGGCGGGGGATGTGGAATGGGGAGCCAGCACTCCCTATTTTCCTGGTTTATGCTTTAGGCAGGCCTGTATGCTGGGTCTTGGAACTGAAACAGTTAATTTGCTCATTTATTTGGCTTTATATTCTATAGTCTTAAAGAGTATTATAAGAAAACTTTGCTTTCTTTACGTGTGTAACATGTTTTTCTTCAACTGTTGACAGAGGAGACCTTGCCTATTTTGATGGACTTAATGAGACTATTCTTGCCGTGGGGCTTGTGAAACCAAAAGCTGGTAAGAAATAATATAAGGATTAAATTATTTTTGTATATACATAGACTTCAAATGTTTAGAACTGAAAGATAACACATTTTAAGTAGTTGAATTTCCTATTGAATCTTTGTTCTGAATTACTTCTAATTAGAAAATATAAAGTGACTAGGAATATTTAAGTTTACTCACTTTATGGTATAAGTGAGTTACTTTAAACTTGTTAAACTATAGTTTTTGAATTTTATCTTGCTTGCTTTTTGTTACTTTCTTTGATTCACCTCAAGATTTTGCATTTCACATTTTTCATCGGTTAATTAAAAATCATTTTGTTTCTGCATTTTTTTAGTCTTGATAGCCCATGGAAATGAGAACAGAATTCAAAATAAATCTTAGAGAAGTCATAAGCATTGTTTAACTTAGTTGCAACTTTTATTATGCCAGATCTTTTATCAGAGCTACCGATAAACAGAATTGATTGATTTAAATTTAATATACATCTCATGAATTATTATTTATTCCTACAAAAGGAAATAATAGACAAAATTCTCTTGGTTGCAAGGCCTAAATAAAATTTTTTAAGGTCACAGCAGTTTTAAGATTAATAATTCACATAAATACAAACATGCAGTTTTGTACACTGGGATTACATTGAAAATGTATTTCCTTAGATACAGCATTCTTTACCCTAATGTACCTCCATCTTATTTCTTCAATTAAAAGTTTATTCATATAAAAGTCTATTCCTGTCCCTGTTGTAATAAGTATAAATTGTCCATCTAAAATTACTAGTAAAATTTTGTTCTCAACTGTAAATTTCAGTGAAAAATTAAAATTATAGCATAGTCTTTGATATGACAACAAAGATGTTATCTTTGATAATTAAACCATTCTAACTGCTGTCGACAAGTGCTGAAAATTCTGACTGAAAATTCCAACATATGTTAAAGCTAACAATGTCCACATCTTTACCTTTTGCAAGAAAACATTCTTCAAAGTAAAGTCATTGTTTTCTAAGTCACTTAGGCTTTTTGGCAAGATTCTGTTTTATTGATGCTTCTATGTAAACAAGAAAATTGTGAATCCATGTTTCAATTTTATGATTTTTTGAATAAGACATAAGAATTCTTAAGTGTTTTCTAGCATTTGCAAGTTACTGCCTACAGAGAAATTGACAAGACTTCCTCACAAAGAAGTATATCTCATATATTGAAAGATTCACATAGTAATCCAGCTTCAGTCTCATCATCCAGGGAGATAACTTAGCTGAAAGAGCTTGTGGCTTTGGGGCAGTATTCCTTTGCGTGATTATGTGATTACAAATCAAACAGTCTACCTCATTTGTATGACCAATAGAGCTACCACCAAATCAAATCATATAAACTCAGGACTTCCTGCAGGTTATTCTCAGAATGGTCTTTCCTTGTCCCTAATAGAGTAAACTTTACTCAAGTCCAGTCAGCTATTTCTAGAAAGTCAGTATCCTTCTCAGTAGTAGAGAAGAACTTTGTATTTTTCTATTTCTGGACAAAATACCTGTCATTGAAGTTGAAAGTACCATTAGCCACATTTTTGTTGCCAAAGCATGCCTTTGTAAAATTCAGTGAGTTAGTGTTCTGTTGAGTTTCCTCATCAAAGTAGCAAACAGATGCATCACAAAGGATCATATGTGCTCATATTTGTACACAAGTTATTAAACTACTTCTTTCAAATTTTTATTGAATAGTAAAACTTTGAACCATTAGACAACTGGCAGTGTCTAAAAGGTACTAATAAGATGTGCACTTTATAAATAAGAAGTGAGAGTGACTAAAGTGAGAAATATCAGTCATTTGACCCTATTGCATTCTATAGGGAAATGGCTTCTATTTCTACCATCTACTGTACAATAATCGAATAAATTAGGAGAGTTTTTAGAGATGACATCATTTGACAGGGCAGTTTTACTTAATCTTCCTTTACTCCAAGCCATAAACCATCTCTACCACTTTATTAAATTCCAACTTTATGAAGATTTCTGTAATCAAAGATGGCTTCTTTGGCTTAGCATGGTGACCAGATACTTTGAGATATGACTTTTATTAATAAAAATCTAAGTTTTCATAAAATTCAGGCTTTTTAAATCAACTTATGAAATATCAAGTATGTTTTGAGGTCATTAAAGTAGAAGACCTGTGCCTTCAACTTCATTCACTTGAACTTTGAGACACCAACTGGCCCCTTGACATTCAGTAATGAAAGTAAAACCAAGTGATAATATAAGCTGTTGTATTTTCTACAACATTTAACACCTGTAAATAGGCCAAATGTATATACATAAAAAGATGTCCATAATTATAACATAAGATGTATTTCCTTTTATTCCTATTAGCAAGACACTATTTTTGGGAATCATAACATGACAGTGATGTGTATAGCATCTCATGCCACTCCACCAAGTTACACAGTACCTCATCATAAATTAACAAAAAAGTGTTTGTACTTGGTAATATCCTCTCTGAAACTGTAAATTATCTGGTTTTGATATATAAACTCATTTGGGAAACTTATTTGACATATAAACTCATTTCTGTTTCTATGAATTTGACTACTCAGGGTAACTGATGTAAGTGGAATTAAATACTTTTTGTCTTTTTGTGACTGCCTCACTTCTTAGCATAATGTCCTCAAGATTCATCCCTGTTATAATATGTATCAGAATTTCCTTTTTTTAAGACCAAATAGTATTCCATTGTATGTAGATCCCATGTTTTGTTTATCCATTCATCTGTTGATGGACATTTGGGTTGCTTCCATCTTTTAGGTCCTGTGAATTATACTGCTGCGAATATGGGTATACAAATAGAAATCTTTTGTAATTTAATAAACCTAAGCTATTTTGTAATGTTACACTGATTTTAAGTGGTGTTAAATACTAAAGTGTTTATTTCTGACGGTGTTTTATTCTGCTGTTTACTTATTTAAATGATCGTAGGTAGTAATATTTTAACATCAAAATTAAATAAATTGGGTTCAGACTTTTCGTATACTAAATCACTAGCTCACTGTAAAACCTTAGTGGTAAAACCTTATTTATTAATGTTTAAATACTGGATTTTTATGGAAAATAATACATAACATGTCTATTTTATCTTAGGCATCTTTCAGCCTCATGTACGACACCTCTTGGTTTTGGCAACCCCTGTGGATATAGTGATTCTTGGACTCAGCTATGCTAATTTGCAAACAGGTATAGCAACCCACATGTGTTTTTTAAAATAAAAATTTGATGGTGAACTTAGTATTATAATTAAAAACTAACCTTTTTCACTAAGTTAGCTTTCCAGGCCATTTGCTCATAAAAAATAATATTTTCGTATAGATACGGTATCTTTCAAGATAGTAGTTCCACCAAAGCATTTTGGTTGTATTTACCATATTAATGTGCACATTTTAAACATACAGTATGAAGAGAGGGTAGTAGAAGATGAATAATTGATGTCAGTTTTTCAGTAATGCCTTCAGTTTCTTTGTTTCTGATTTTTTTTGAATGGCCATTTTAATGTATGGAACACTAATATAAGAAGTTATTCTTTCCCTTGAAGTAAGAAGCCCTCAGTTAATTTATTGCAAGCACATTCAATAGTTTCTTTTGCATTGTGGCAATCTGTTTTGGATGAAATAATGATGAATTTCAGTGACAGTATTGTTTATTACTACCACATCTTTAGGCTCTTTCTCAAAATTTTACCCATTTCCTGTTTGCCCCCAAGGATGTTCGCCCACAGCGCTTACAGCTGCAGCATTTACCCCAAGATAAGATACCTCCCTGATTACAGTCTAACCTTACCCCACAGTTTGCCATGACATATCTCACTTTTATTATTATTTTTGCACCACTCTAGTATGTCGATATTCTTTGGAAACAATGACATTCTATTTATAGCATTCTGTTTTTAGTAATGGTATTTCCATGTACAAAATAGAGTAATTCTTGATTGCTGAAAATGTCAAATCCTAGAAAACATAGCATTCCTACACGTGATGTTAAATTAATGCTGGCAGTGAGCTACACTTTTTTTTCCTAAATGGGAAAAGAGCTTAAAATTTGGGTTAGTTTTTTGATTGGCGCTTTACAGTGTTACATACTATATATTTTAATTATATGTATTATAGTTTTTATATATGTGCATACTGTAAGTTCTCTTTAATTTGAATTATCAAATTGTGTCAAGCTTTTTATAGTAATTTAAAAATGGACATTATATAAGCTGTCAAGTATATCAGTAAGAATTCAATAAAAATATAAATTTTAAAGATAATAGTGTTTGTTTTAAACTTCAAAAAAGCCAATAAACTGATTCCTGTGTCCTTTCTTTAAAAAAAAAAAGGTTCCGGAGTTCTTAACGACAGCATGTGTGGTGGAATGCAGTTGCTTCCAGATCCTTTATATTCTCTTCCTACTGACAACACTTATCTTTTAACAATAACTTCCACCGATAATGGCAGAATATTCTTGGCTGGAAAGGATGGCTGTTTATATGAAGTAGCATACCAAGTAAGTCTGGCATTTATAAACATTTTTTTCTCCCTCTTGATGAAGTAGGAATGGATTTCGTTTTTGTTTTGTAATTACAGAAGCACATTAATATATTCTTATAGAAAGTATTCAGACATATAGTTAAAGCCATAGTCCTCAATGACTACATCATGCCTGCAAAAACCTATCTTCTTTTCAGGGGTAAAAGCCATTATCAGTCTGAGTATGTACTTTTAAAACATAATATGTGCATTGATGAATATGTGAATGTCTATATGCATTTATGTGTGTATACATGTATACAAATACACATACATTTTGTGTTTGTATGTTTTTACTTAGATTGTCACTTATGTTTTGTTACATAATTGGCTTTTAACAATGTTTTGGAAGTCTTTTCTTGTCTGTATCTAGTAGAAAGATATGTTATGTTTGGTGATTGTTGCATAGTTGTCCATAAAACAGGTACATGGTTTACTTAACAATCCTTTTTTGGTGGATTTATAGGTTTTCAGTTTTCCCTTTCACAAATAAAGTTATAATAAATGTCCTTGTGCACATGTGTAGAGATTTTTTTTGTGTGTGTAGAGATTTAGAATTCTAGTAGTTGAGTTGTACTTACATGTATTTAAAATTATATTTCTTATTTTCATGTTGCCCTCTAAGAATTTTAGACCTTTTACAGGCATCTATGAATGTATTTCCCCCACTCACCCATTCTTACTTACATTAATATTAATCAAACTTAGTAATTTTGGCCAGTCTGATGGAGGGGAATATATTTTTTATTACTAGTTAAACATCATTTCATGTATTTATTGGTCATTTGCGTTTTCTCTACTCTGAAATGCCTTTTTGTGTCCTTAGTTCCTTTTGTTTTTTCCCTACTGTATTGTTGCCTTTTTTTTTTTTAAGGTAAACCTTAGGAAGCAAAGTAATATTCTTCTTTTATTTTTAATTAAATTTATTGGGGTAACATTAGTTAATAACATTGTATAAATTTCAGGTGTACAACTTTATAATACAACATCATTATACATTCTGTTCTTACCATCCAAAGTCTGGTCTCCTTCTGTCACCATGTATTTGACCCATAAAGTAATATTCTCAATAGTCACACAGCCAGTTAGTGGCAGAGCTAGTTAGTGGCAGAGCTAGAATTAGAACCCATGTCAGCTGTGGTTTTTGTATCACGTTGTACCACTTTCTTGCCCAGTTTCTCTTGGCTTTGTTCATTACCACAAAATGGTTTTGTGCGGCAAAATACAGTCATTGAGAGGTAGACCATAGATTATGATGGTGGTGGCTGCTATTGTTAAAATCTCCTTTTAGCAGAAGTGGGAAGAGATGATAGAAGTACCTCTATCTTATCTATTTGAGTACTTATAAACTGTGCGGGTACTTAAAAACTGTGCTTATTATGTTCCTTATGCTTTCAAATAGGAGTTTTTAAGAGAATTAAAATATGAGTTCACTAACATAGCACTACTGAGGTTACTGGAATAGACAGCTGATTTCATTGAGAGTAGTGATTTGATTAGAGATAACTATATTTTCTATTTTTAATTACAGGATTAAATTCAGTACTTTGGAATATGTCTCACTTTATTTACAATTACTGGTATTTTATAAGATTTGAGAATTTTGTAAACATGAGTATACTGTTGTTGCTGTGACAGAGGTACCTACATTTATACGTCTTCTTTCTTTCCATTTTTTCTTTTAAGGCCGAAGCAGGTTGGTTTAGCCAAAGATGTAGGAAAATAAACCACTCAAAGAGCTCACTTTCTTTTCTTGTTCCTTCATTGCTACAATTCACATTCTCAGAAGATGGTAAGTAGAAAATAAATTTGGCAAACAAAATTTTTAACAGATTATTGACATTTTCCTCAGAAATTTTTATTATTAACTGAAACAGTTTATCTTATTAAACAACATTATATATTCATAAGGACTCTTAAAAGAAGGCCCTGAGTGTGCCGAATCTCATCTGATCTCGGAAGCTACGCAGGGTCGGGCTTGGTTAGTACTTGGACAGGAGACCACCTAGGAATACCAGGTGCTGTAGGCATTAAAAAAAAAAAAAAAAGACTATAAAATACAGAAACTGGATTTTATTAACAAGTGCCTATAATGTAGCATCATGGAACATGTGTCTAAAACAGCTATATACATACTTAAAACATGTGTATGTGAGAATGCGAGACAGACATCTAATGCATGTTTTGCCTGGTCTAGAACAAATTCCCAGCATAAAATTAATATATGAGTTTTTAATAAAATGAGAGATATAGGCAGACGAAATAATTTAAAATTTATAAATTTAAATTTATAATGGAACAATATAAAGTAGCTTAATATGGCTGAAATTTTAAATTATTTCCCTTCACACAATGAATTATTAAACTAAATTTGAAGTTTCTTAGCAGAATGGACCGAGTATAATTATTTCATGTATTTCTTACATATAGCAAACATTCATTAAATGTTTGCTGAATAAAGAAATAATCTAGAACTTGTTTTTCATTTGGCTTAAAATTCATTTAGAGGACAGAATTACTTATTTGTGATTCTCTCAACCCAGTCGCAGTGTTTGAGATCTGCTTTTTTCAACGCTTCTTGGCTTTTGTTCTTATGCACGTCTTAGGACTTATTTACAAAGCAAGAGGAAAGCCCCTGAATGCAAAGTTCTAATTTAACAATTTTAATTTGTTGTACATAGCTACTGTATTTTATTTGTTAATCTGGTTTTTTTTTTCCTTTTTTTGTCTTTTAGATCCTATTGTTCAAATTGCAATTGATAATTCTAGAAACATTTTATATACACGATCTGAGAAAGGAGTAATACAGGTTAAGTATTGACATTATACCACCATTTAAGCTGGAAACAACATCCCCTTTTTTAAGGAAGACGATTCAGTCCCTCTTTTTCTCTGAACAGTGTGCTTTTAAAACAACATCCTTCGGGCCCCTTTTTATGAAAATTAAAATCTGTCAATGTTTCTATATGTACATGAAGAGTTCCTAAAAAGGAAAAGTCTATATAATAAAATTATATTTAAAAGTTCATTTTATGAAATGTATATAGCCTATAGTTATGTTTCAGTGGTACAATTTTTTATTGACAGGTTTATGATTTGGGCCACGATGGACAAGGAATGAGCAGAGTTGCCTCAGTGTCACAGAATTCTATTGTCTCTGCTGCCGGAAACATTGCTAGGTAATAATATGTAATTTACTTTCAGACATTTCATTTGCAAGCATAATTATACTATTTATCTGCAGCATACTAAAACTATTTCCTCCTCAAAGTATATCTAGAAGATTAGGCATGTCGAAAGAGATGATACTGTAAGTTATATTTGAAGCAGAGGTGCTAGAGACTCTTATTCTTATGTTGGATGGTTTGAAACATAAAGTAGACTGGTTTTACAGTGCAAAATACAGATTGACATATGTTTGTCCTTGGAACTTTGGGTGGTCTGTATAGGCATTACAGGCGTTCTGTCTAGGAAACTACATGTCTCTAAGATCACCCTCTTATAACTTCTCCACCTTTTTAACAGGTCTACATAGTATAAGTTGTGTTGGTCTGATAATTGACACAAGTGCATTTTGGGAATACTTTACAGTTGTATTGTCCACATTTTCTCATATTCTTGAGAAAATTAACTAAAGGATGTTATCATTGCCTGAGGTCTGGCTCCTAAATAAGCTCTGGAACCCAAGCTAGAATCCAAGTCTTCAGACCGTATACACTGCAGTTTTCATACGTCACAACCGATTTAGCTCAGATACAGATATTCTATTCATATAACACAGACCTCAAATTTTCAGCTTCTGTGACGTGTGTGCCTGGATTATTGCTACATTCAGACACCTAGTGAAAAATCAACATGTTTTCTTTGCTGTTCAGTGACATAAAATTTCTCAAGGCAATCTAAAATACAAGATTTCCTATTTCCTTTTTTTTTTAAATGCCTACAAAACCCAGTCAGTCTTCCTAGGTGGTCTCCCATCCAGGTACTAACCAGGTCCGACCCTGCTTAGCTTCCAAGATCAGATGGGATCAGGCCTGTTCAGGGTGGCATGGCCATAGACAGGTTTCCTATTTCTTGCCCCAGCTTTTTCTTGGGAAATTTTTTCTGCTCCACAGAAAAATTTAAAGAGCAGCATGGTAAAAACTGATACACCCTTTACCTAAATTTGCCAATTTTGCCTGATTTGCCTACTCTGTCATGAGCTACTTGAAAAGTTGCAGACATCATGACCTTTTACCTTGAAATCTTTCAGCTTCTGTCTACTAAGTCTCTTATGTAAGCACAATACCAATTCCGCACCTAAGAAATTTAATAATTTTGTAATATTATCTTGTAATAATATAGTTTATATTAAAATTAATGGTCCCAAAAATATTTTATAGCTATTTTTCCATTTTTCTACAGATTCAGTAAGAGCTCATGAATTGCATTGGTCATTAGTCTTTAATATGAAATGGACTCACTGCCTTTTCTTTTTCAAAATTTTGACATTTGGGAAGGAAGAGCAGGAGTGTTATTTAAAGAATATTTGAATTTGTCTTTTTTTCCTTGTTAAAGTCAGAGTAATATTTTTTTAGCCAATAATACATAGGTGATGAGAATTTCTTAAAGCATTACATCAGCAGCACATAATAAAACCAGTTCTCTCACTATCAAACAGTTGGTTAAGATAGTGTTCACCAGACCTCTACTTTAGAAAGGACCATTTTTCTCCCCCTTTTTCATTAGTGGTAACTTTTACAGTGATAATTTGATGCTCTGGGAACACCATGTTCCCCATTAGCCATTTACCCAGTGGATTTAGCTTTCTTTTATGATCTTTGAAAAAAGGGGCACTCTTAATAGTATTAATGTAAACAACACACATTCAGGGGTTTTTGCCAGTTCTTGCTGCTATTGTGTTACTTTCCTAAGAAGTTAGTCTTGTTATGTTAAACGATTTTAACATATTTAGACATAAAAATACTGATGGAAAATGTTTCTTATAATTTAGTAGACATTTTTTAAATCAGTTTTTTCCCTTTTTTTTTAGGACTATAGATCGTTCTGTTTTTAAACCAATTGTTCAGATAGCAGTGATTGAAAATTCTGAATCACTGGACTGTCAGTTATTGGCCGTCACACATGTGGGTATGTTGTTTCATTTATACGTCTGCTATTGCTTTTATAACTTGATAATCCTCAGGTTTGGATATATATGATTTCAAATGTTTTTACTTCTGTTTTAATTATCAAATCATACTAATAATTCATAAAATTAAGGACTCTGAAAATTAGAATATTCCTTCTTTTCTGTCTCCTCATTTTATAAATGTATAACCAGGCCTGAAAGTGGCTAACATTCAGTGAAAGAGCCTAAATTGGAACAAAAGCTCCTTTGGCTTATAGTTGCAGGTTCTTTCTAATGAAATTTGTTGATTCACATCTCAATTTCTAGTGACATTGTCTTAGAAATCCACTTCAGCTGGTAGTAAATGTGGTAATTTAAGAAAAGTCAGGAAAGTGATATATGGCTTTAACAGAGTTCTGTGTTTCACTGTGAAATTGCTTCGATAACACATGTACCTAAGGTCTTTTTTTTTCTTTCACTGTTGTAAAATTTTACCCCATCATTAGGTATACGGTTATATTTCAGTACTTGTCCATTCAGACAGCCATTAGCAAGACCTAATACACTGACACTGGTTCACGTTCGCTTACCTCCTGGATTCTCTGCATCTTCAACAGTGGAAAAGCCCTCAAAAGTACATAAAGCTCTGTACAGTAAAGGTAAGTTCTGGAATACTATCAAATTGAAGACAGAGTTCTTAAACTTATTAAAACTAGAATGCATTTGAGGCATTTGAAGATAGATTTTCCAATAAAATTTAGGGATGTTTTGGTTTCTTATCCAGGAACATTTTTTATATTAACATGATATTTCAAGCATTTGTAATTCATATATTTATAAAAGCTATAGCATTTTTTAAATATCTATTAGTATAGTATATTAGCCTTATGTATATTCTCACAGGTCAAAATCGATGTTATATCCACTACAGTAGACTCTGAGCTCTCTTCCTTCAAGACTGTTAGGAAAACTCAAATGGCTTTCTTACATTTTGCCTGCTGTGTCAGTATTTTTATGGGTGCAGAGAGTTTTTCATGGAACAATTTTAAATCTTGACCAAAAAAATTCTAATTAAACATCAAAACTTGAAAAAAATGTATGTGCTATTATTTCCCGTGATGAGAAAGCATTTGTAAAATGTTTGTTTTTATTTTCTAATCATTCTAAAGCCTTTTCTTTGCTTATTCTGTTTCTTCCAACATTTCATTTTTAACACTCAAATAAAGCTTCCCTTTACAAATAAAATTTTTTCAAATGCATAATATGCACTTTCTCAGTATTTTTTTTCAGTATTTTCAAATAACAGCTTTATTGAAATATAATTCACATGCCATAAAATTTAGCCTTTTAAATCTAGTGGTTTTTAGTTTAATCTGAGTTGTACAACTATCACCACTGTCTAATTCTATAACATTTTTATCACCCCTGAAAGAAACTCTATACCCATTAACAGTCATTCCCTATACCCTTTTCTCAGCCTTGGGAAATCACTAATCCACTTTCTTTGTCTATGAATTTGCCTGTTTTGGACATTTCATATAAATAGAATCAGATAGTATATGACCAGGTTCTTTCACTTAGCATAATACTTTCAAGGTCAATACATAATATAGCCTGTTCATTTCTTTCATTTCTGAATATTTCACTGTGTGAATGTACCACATTCTATTTATCTGTTCATCATTTGGTTGGCATTTGAGTTGCTTCTACTGTTTGGCAATTGTGAATAATGCTATGAACATTCTTGTACAAGTTCTTGTATGGACTTATGTTTTCATTTCTTTGGGGCACATACCTTAGGAATGGCATTATTGGTCATGTGGTAACTCTGTGTTTAACCTTCGAGGAACTGCCAGACTGTTTCCAAAGCATTTATGCCATTTTACATTTTTACAAGTAGGGTTACACTTTTGCTACATTGTTGTTTTCTGTCTTTATATTATGTTGATCCTTGTGCGTGTGAAGTGTTATCTCATTGGCAGTTTTGATTTGCATTTGCCTGATGGCTAATGGTATTGCGCATCTTTTTTTGTGCTTACTGGCCATTCATACATCTTTGGAGAAATAACTTTCAGATCCTTTCTCTTTAAAATCGAGTTGTCTTTTGATTGGTGATTTGTAAGGGCTCTTCGTATAATACAATCTGGACACAAGTCTCTTTTTAGGTATATTGCAAATATTTTCTGCCATTTTGTATGTTATGTTTTTACTTTCTGATGATGTCCTTTGAATCACAAAAGTTTTTAACTCTGATAAAGTCCAACTTATCTATTTTTTCTTTTGTTGCTATACTTTGAGTTTATCTTTAAGAAACCATTCCCTAACCCAGAGTCATGAACATTTACTCCTCTTTTCCTCTATAGGTTTTATAGTTTTCACTCTTATTTAGATCTTTAATCCATTTTGGATTAATTTTTTTAAATCATGTGAGGTAGAGATCTGACTTCCATTTTTTTTGCAGTTTTCAGCACCATTTGTTGAAAAAACTTTTTTCTCCTTGAATTGTCTTGGCACCTTTGTCTCAAATGGATAGCCCATAAATATATGGGTTCTAGACTCAGTTTTATTCTGTCAGTCTATATGTCTGTCCTTTGTTATAAGTTTTGAAATTCCAACTTGGATCTTTTCTTTCAAGGTCGTTTTGACTATTCTGGATCTCTTGCATTTTCATATGGATTTTAGGATCAGTTTGTCAATTTCTTAAAAACGTGGGATTTTGATAGTTGAAAATGTAGATCATTTTGAGGAGTATTGTCATCTTAACAATATTAAATCTTCAAATATATGAATGTGGGGTGTCTTGTTATTAGACTTAACCTTTTAGAGTGATGCGTGTACATTGTACTATGTACAAATATTTCACTTCTTAAATGTACTAAGTATTGTATTCTTTCCGGTGCTGTTTTAAATAGAATTAGGTCTTAAAGCTAGAAATGTGTGGAGGAAAAAATACTGTGGTTTTAATTATGTTCATGAAATAATTAAATTGCAGTTTTTCAAACTTCCATATGCTAAAGTTTAAGAAACATTTTCTTCTACCTTGATATAAACTACTCTCAAATTTTCACAAGCTAATTATGTGTATTATTAGTTAATTACAGTCCCATTACCTAAACCATCCAATGGACTTGAGACTGATATTATTAAAGCCAGTACAAAGGGAATAAATTAGTGGGAGGAGCTGGTATTGAACACAGGAGAATATATTTCAAAATCAAACTAATATCAGCTAGTATTGCTGAGGTGATGCTTTTATAGTATATTTATCTCTACCATTCCACTGGTAACTTCATTTTTATTTATAGTGTGTTTGATTTAACCAGTACATGAACTCTATTTCATTAAATATTAGATACTTTTGATTGTAAGTCACAACGTTTTTTATGTACTAAACATATTTTTTAAAGTTAATGATTAAATTGATAAACCCGTTGATTGCAAAATATGTCCTAACTTCAAAAATATTAAAATGTGAAAAAAAAAATAAGTGTTTACTTGAAAGAAACAGTATAAAATCTGGAACACTTAATAATCTTACCCTACCGATAATTATATGACCTTTTAAGGAATTTATTTTTATTTATTTTAGAACTCTTTTACTTATAACGAGTGTTTTATATATACAGATTAATGTTAATAATTAATATTATTAAGATTATTGGGGATGCATATTATTTGGCATCATAAGATTTTGTGTGTTAACCTTTTAGGTATTCTACTGATGGCAGCCTCAGAAAATGAAGATAATGACATTTTGTGGTGTGTCAACCATGATACATTTCCTTTCCAAAAGCCAATGATGGAAACTCAGGTAAGCTATCCTGAGAATCACAAAGAACTTTTTATATAACATAATTTTAAGTGAAGAATAAACTTATAAGAAACTTTAACTTCTGATTTATTACTATTTGCTTCTAAAAATCTTATGTGATTAGAAATTATATCAAAAAGGAGTGTTTCCTATTGTTTTTCCTCTCTGAGGTTAGAAGTCATTATGGTAATCATTAAAAATATCTTTACGTAAGCATTGGAGCCCACTTAGGATGTTTTTCTTAATGTACAAGAAAATGCATTATCTTTTCTGAAATGATCTTTGTCCCATTTAAATATATTGTATTTTTACTTATTTCATTGAGGCAGTCCATTATCGTTATGACTTAAAATTTCATTGTAATGATCTCTAATTTAGTTCTGCCTAAATTTAAAAAATTTTCCCTTTTAATTATAGAAAATTTTGAACATACACAAGAATAGAGAAAATGGTAACCTGAACCCCACTTTAGTCAATTACCAACATTTCTCTATCTTGTTTCACCTGTCTTCCTTACGCAAACAAATGTGCACACACAGATACGTAATTGTGTTTTAAAAGCAAATACTACCACGTACTCCATGAAGTCAGTGTGGAGGTTCTAGGTGGGGGGTGTGGCCCCGGCCTGTCCTAGCCCAATCCCGTATCTGGGTTGCCCATCCCAGTTCACAAGGACCTAAGGGGAGGCCAGCACCCCCAAGGGTATGGCCAGGAGAGGCTGTCTCTCCTCCCTTTGTCCCCTATCCCGCCCCCATTTATTCTCCTAGATGCCCTAGCATAGTCCATGCTGCCTGCCCCCTAGAGGCTGCTGATCAAACCAGATAAACCAACCCCAACTAGGGTGTGAATGTCTAATATTCTTTCTTTGGAACCATCTTTTTAAAGGCATCTCGAGTCCAGCTGTTACTGGCTGCTTCCTGGTTATTCTCCAACTTAAGCCCTTCTAATTAGGGAGAGTGGGAAAAGATGGGAAAAAGAACCCAACCCCCAGGGATGGACACATGGTTTGAAAAAGCTTTTCCAAGTTTCCGACATGGCCCAAGTTGCTGGAGAAGGGGCAGGAGATAGATATGGAGTCAAGGCGCACCTTTCTCAAATTCTTTATTCTTTGAACTTTACTGAGCATGTGTATGTGTCTCATGCTATGATAGATTGTGAGGATTCAGTAGTTATAAACCCTGTCCTGATGGGAGTCTAGTGCTAGGGGGCACAGGTTTGAATTCTGGCTCCATTTCCTCGAATCTGTGGCTCAAAGGACTTAAAATGTCTCTGGCCTTCGATTTCCTTGTCTATTATAGTACCTACCTCTATGGAGTTGTGGTGGAATTAAACGAGTTTGTATATCACTCAGAGCACTGTCTGGCACATAGGAAGCACTCAATAAATGTTAACTTTTTAAAAAAGCAAATACTATACATCATATTTCATTTGTATAATGCTTGAGTTCTCAAATATGGACTTAAAAAAAAAAACCACCAAATATAAATGTAGTGAATGAACTCTGACTAAATTTTAGTCTTCCAGAAACAGTTCTAAAAGACACTGGGACAACAAGGAAATTCTATATTGGCTGGACATTCGATTATATTAGAGAATTGTTAATATTCTTAAGCATTATAATAGTATCATGGTTATATAAGAAAACATCCTTACTTTTAAGAGATGCATGCAAAAGTAGCAGTGACATATCAGGTTCATAACTTTCACATGGTTCAGTAAAAGAAAAAAATAAACAGAAAGCAAATATGGCAAAATGCTAACAATGGTTGAATCTATGTATTGGGCATGGGGATCTTTACTATACTTTCAACATTTTTGAATTCTGGAAATTTTTTATAAGAAAAGTATTTTAGGAGATTGAGATACTTTTTTAAAGGTGTATATTAGCTTAGAATGCAAACATAACTTCAGAAGAGCACAAAAATCTATGTCAGCAAAATGTAAGTACTGAACCAACCAGTATAGAGCAATTTGTCCTAGAAAGATGGTAGAAGGTAGTCTTTAGTTATAGATCGAATTATAATTCTAGTAAATACTGTTTACAGTTTATCTTAGGGAAAATTTGCCTTTCTCCTCTAATATGGAATGATTGTTATCATAGATGCCTGATTAAAAGAATTAGTAGAAAATTAAATAGACTTTGAGAATATGTTATTGTATTATTTGTTAAATTCTATATTTACTTAGAGATTAAATCTGTACTTTTCCTTTTTACTGTACATGACTTTAATAATATTAGTATAAAAAATTTATTTCCTTTAACATAGATGACGACCCGTGTTGATGGTCATTCCTGGGCTCTTTCTGCAATAGATGAATTGAAAGTAGACAAAATAATTACACCCTTAAATAAGGATCATATTCCAATAACTGACTCACCAGTTGTTGTACAGCAACACATGTTGCCTCCAAAGAAATTTGTTCTCCTCTCAGCACAGGTATGTACACATTCTGTTAATGTGGAGACAAGAAGAGAAGCAATATTTAATGATTTTATATTCTGCAGTAGTTGCTTAGTAGAGTCATTTACTTATGTACCTAGCAATGTTTACTCTTAAAATAGTCTTAAGAGTTTGTAAATTCCCAGAAATACAACAAAAGGAACTAGCTCTGTTAAAGCGTTATACTTTTTCTAAAGTAGCATTTCTGTCACCAGTGTTCAACTGCATAAAATAAGTTTTATTTATTGTTCTCACTTAAATTATTTAAAAATTTTTCTCAATATTTATTTTTGGAATAATTATGCACTGACAAATTCAAATGATATAACAAGGGGTATACAAAATAAAATCTCCCTTTAGGTCCCTTCCCTACAGACACCAGTGTCTTTGTAGCCTTTCAGGGAGATGTTACAGATCTACACACAATAGAAATATACCTCTAAACAAGTGGTAGCAAATTATATACACTGTTCTATACTTTGCTTTCTATATTTCAAAAATATGTTGTAGCACTCTTATCATTACATAAAGAATTTACCCATTCCATTTTATTTTTAAAAGGTATTCTTTTATATGGTTTTACTGTATTTCACTAGGCCCTTGTTAATGGATTATCTTCTGCCATTAAAAGTAATGCTACAACCTTGTGTGTGTATCATTTTGCATGTATATATGTTTATATGTTTACATGTTTATATGTATACATGTTTATAATTTTGATAGATTTTGCTAGATTTCCCTGTATACATACATACATTCACTAGCAGTGATGTTGAGTGCCTGTTTTTTTATAGTCCTGTCAACAAGTACAGTGTGCCATCTTATTAAGAGTAAGACTGTCTTTTTAAGAGTTTACTTTTCTGTGAATGATCTTTTTCTATTTTATGCCTACTTTTCTATTGATTTATCTTTTTATTTACTTTATAGAAGCTCTTTGTGTGTCAAGGGAACTAACTTTTTGTGATTTGTTTCATATTTTTCAAAATTTGTCATTTGATTTTATCTATTGAGATTTTTTTAAATTTATAAGTATTTGAAATTTTCTTTGAAATTCATAGAAGAATTCACCCATAGTTTCTTTTAGCACTATTGTAGTTTTATTTTGTCCTTTAAATCTTTGATCTGTTTAGAATTTATCCTGATGTAAGGTATGAGTAAGGATCCAGCTTCATTTTTTCCTAAATGAACATACTTGTGCCAACGTGATTAATAGATAATCTAACTATAATCTTCTGATTTGAGGGACAGCCTTTATCATAGCTTAAATTTTAGTATTTACTTGAGCCTATATCAGAACTAAATTTAATAAGAAAACATTCCCACCAAAAAAAATTTAAAAAGTTTTTTAGACATAAAATTTTATATACCTTTCTCTTATTCATGATAGTAGCGCATGTTATGCTACTCTCATTTGTGTCTGACTGATAGAGCAGTGTTTTCTTATTAAATTTTCTTGATGGATATATAGGTGGAATATATAGATGGGAGTTGAAATGTGGATGCTCTTTTTGACCAGTTTACTTTGTATTCTTGAAATTATTATTTTTTTCATTAATTTTAATAAATGAGATATCAGTGTCACTTGCTACCAGCCAGACTTGGTAAGTATGTTATTCAAGTTCTTTTATTTTTAACTTCTTAGGGGAGTCTTATGTTTCATAAACTTAGACCTGTAGATCAACTGAGGCATCTGCTTGTGAGTAATGTGGGTGGAGATGGAGAAGAGATTGAAAGATTCTTTAAATTACATCAGGTAATTATTTATACTTTTTTTAATGTGATAATTTAAACAATGAGCAATGGGAATGATAGCTAATCTTACCAACTTTCTTTACGTTAATCACTATATGTGTACTGATATTTGAGAGCAGTATTCATACACTATAAGGCTTATGGTAAACTCACATTTTTATTCTCTGTTGTTGATAAAGTCTTATTAAAGTGTACTAAGAAAAGTTTGATGTTCAAGTTATATGACATGCATTTTTAATTAAAACGACCTTTATGGATTTTTAAAAAACTTTTTGCTTATGGGGAAAACTAGAGGCATATTGTTGAGGACATTAGTATTTCAAAGCCATATCTAGAATTGACAAAGTAGAACTGGGAATGCTTAGTTTAAAATCAAGAATATCAGCTCAAAATTAAATACAGAGACTCTGGATTCAGACCACTAGCTCCACTACCAGGGTAGATTACTTGAATTCTATGGGCTCCAGTTTACTCATATGTAAAATATACATTACATTATAATAGTATATGATGTGAGTATTAATAAATGCTAAACTCTTAAAATAGTACCTGCCACATGACAGCGACTCAATAAATGTTAGTTATTGTTAATTTTTCTAAAATGTAAAAGACCACAAGAGAAAAATTAGGAGAATAAACCAGAAACTAAAATAGAATCTAGATAAAAAGAGAACATCCTTTAATAATAATGCCTATGATAAAGTTTAAAACCAATATTACTTTATTTCTCCTTTTTCATACCAACTAATTTTATTCACTCAACAAATATTTATCGAGTACCTGCTGTGTGCTAGGCACAGATTTAAACACTGGATACAGCAGTAAACAAAACTTCTTTATAAATGTTTGTGTTTAATATTCTTTTTTTACAGGAAGACCAGGCTTGTGCAACTTGCCTTATCCTTGCTTGTTCCACTGCTGCCTGTGATAGAGAGGTATCTGCTTGGGCTACTCGGGCTTTCTTCAGGTAGACGTCAGTTTTCTTTTGTTCTTGTCCACTTTTTTAAATAGTTGCATTGGCCAGTGAGATAGTTTAAGGGCTTGCCAAACATTTGAGTGACTACAGGCAAGTTACTAAAATTTGTAAAAAGGTCAAATCTGGAAAGATTACAATGGTAATAGAAGCAGCTAGATTAGCACAATTTATGCAGTTGCCCTTTGGGTGCCGTTCTATGTGGTCTCCTTTGGGTGCTGTTCTATGTGGTCTTCCTTCTATACCTCTTTCTCCCTCAGTTGCTACCTCATCTATCTTTTTTTACTTCCTCAAACACTATACCAATTCTGCCCTATGTGTATCATTGTCATTGAGAGATTCTGAATCACTTTATGGAAACTTGGTATCAGAGATATTTTTATTTAGAAAATATTTAGCTAAGAATAAGAATTTTAAATGAGATTTGTTTAAAAGAATTTTTTTAAATGCTGCTTTATCATAATCTATTATGAAGATTACAGTGCCATATACTCATTAAGTAAATTCTGTGTGTTGCTGACTCTTTATAGAAATTGCCAGAGTCCCTCATAATTCTTTATATTCAAGTCACCATTTACTAAATGAGTATTTTATGATGTATCTATGTATATATTTCACTGTAAACGCAATACATTAAGTTATCTAATGTTTAAAGCATTTATTTTGAAAACTAAATAGGACTTTGAACAATTCCAGCTTTTAATTAAGGTAGTTTCACTGAATAAACTCAAACTTAGTCTCTGTTGTCATAAAAATAGGTACGGTGGTGAAGCTCAGATGAGATTTCCAGCTGCTCTCCCTGCCCCAAGTAATGTTGGTCCCATTTTGGGGTCTCCTGTCTATGCTAGTGAGTATGAAACATTGAAATGAGACTGTTTCTAATAGAGTTTGAATTTTAGAAACTTTGTAGCATATTTTAAGGGGCAAAGCTTTTTATTATATTTTATTTACTTCTGTATTAGTGAATAATTCTATAAATATCAGACTCTTAAAAGTGATGATGTTAATATTGAGTTTTTAATAGATGCTATGGAACAAAATAAGTTGTAACTGATAGTATTTACAGAACTCGTTTGTTATTTATTCCTGAGGAAAGACAGTAATGATTTAATAATAACTCCTACCTCAGCGTTTTCCAATATGGGGATTGTTAGATGAGTCCCTAATTCTTAATTCAGTGAGATTCAAAAATTGGGAAGTTATTTTACAAATCTTTATATTCTTATTTTCTTTTTAGGTTCTCCTCTTCCTAGTGGTAGTCCATACCCAAATCCATCCTTTTTGGGAACACCATCTCAAGGTACCTCTTTTCTTTGTTTTAGGTTGCTACTACTATTCCTTTTGAAGAGCTAACATTGCGAGTTATTATCTTTAATGCTTAGTGTGAAAAAGATTAACTTGCCCTCTTAAAAATAATATAATTTAATAGAAGTGCCATTCAAACAAGTATTGGCATTTGGCCATGAATGCCTTTACTTGGGAATACCTTTAGTGTAGTACCTGGAAAGCCCCTTATCTTGGTACCAAGATTTAATTACCAGCCATGAGATCTGTAGAATTAGTTCTATTTCACTTCCAGTATTAAAGAGCCATGATTGCAAGCTTTTTTTTTTTATCCTGCATTGCTGACATTTGAAAACCTACCTGGGAGCACCCATCCTAGTCTAATACTCTCTCCTTATCAAGGAAAATTAAATGATCTATTCCAGTATTTTTATAAATATTCATATCTAGGGGTCTAGATACAATAGATGGGTTATTGAGAATTCTGAATGTTTACGGTTACATTTTAAGATGTATTTTTCTTATGTGTGTACAAGGTGTACATCCTCCTGTCATGTCAACTCCAGTGTGTGCTTTGGGAAATCCAATTCAGGCCACAAGTATGAGTTGTATGGCTGGACCAGAGATTGTGTACTCTGGAAAACACAATGGTATATGCATTTACTTTTCTCGAATCATGGGGTAAGTTTTTCATGGAATAATTAACTGTTGCTCACCTCGTCCTAGTTTGTGTAGTTTAATATTTTTAATTCTAAATTTGGAACATTATTTATTCCTATTAAATTGTACTTATAGTTTTAGCTCACTTGTCCATTAATAAAGTTGTTTTCTATCTTTCAGCTTTTTAAAATCTAACCATCTATATTTATTCCTGTGTTTTATATATATACATATATCTTCAAAATATATCTATGCATGTTATTATATAGTGTTTAAAAAACCACCTTATAAGTCAGTGACATGTGTCTGCAAGTCAACTAGACAGTTCAGATCTTGGCTAGGCTCATCCATGCATGTGCATTTAGCTGTGAGGTTGAAGAGAGCTCTGTCAATCTTGGCTGGACTGTCACATGTTTACGGTAATGTTTGTATGCTTGTCTAGAGTAGCCTCTGCTGGGACAGCTGGATTGTTCTCCATATGGTCACTTATCCAGGGGTTATTCAGTCTATCCAGGGGTTATTCACTTGGTAATAGCAAGGTTCATGAGAGAGTAGAGACTTGCAAACTCTCTTGATGCCTGGGCTCACAGTTGGCCTACTATCTTTTTCACTTCATTCACTTGGCCAGGGGATCATCTCCAGGCCAACCCAGATACAAAAAGTGGGACATGGACTCCTCATTATGAGAAAAGAATCAGAGTCATATTGTAAATGGGATAGCTGTAGGAGGAATAAAGTATAACAGTCATTTTTGCAGTCTACCATACTATCTAGTGAATTATCATACATAGTATATGTTTTTCTCAGATTTGATGTATTTGCTTTCATTCAAATTATTTGCTTAAAAATGTGAAATGGTACAGAACTCTTTTAAATTTATTTTTGCATTATTAGCTTCCTTGTTTGCAATTCATTTCCCACAGCCTTTTGATTTTTCTTCAGCAGTCTTTCATTATATGAAATAACTTTGATATATCAGGTTTGGAAATTTTCATTTTCCCTTTTTTTTTCTTGTTTTTGTATTTTTCAGATAACTTGGTAAAATGTTAAATGAAACTATTGCTATACTTTAATAAACACCTAAAAAGAAATTTACTAAATGCCGTCTGTGTTTTTATTCATCCACAGCACAATTATTAATACATGTTTCTCTTCCAGAAATATCTGGGATGCTAGTTTAGTTGTGGAAAGAGTATTCAAGAGTGGCAACAGAGAGATCACTGCAGTAAGTGTGTTGTATAATGGTATTCCATTATTTGTATGTAACCAGTTTATGTTATTAATGGATAAGTTTATTATTTCACATTTCTTAATGTTATAAACAAATGCAGTGATTATTCTTTTATATATGTTTGTGTACTTGTCCAATAAACTGTTGGGTTAAGTCTCAGCTCTGTCACTTATTAAATGATGAATAAATTTCTTAACATTTCGAGCCTGATACCTCACTATAAAATGAGAATAGTAATATATCCCCCTCATAAGGTTTTTGTGAGGGTTAAATAAAGTCCTAACACTTAATATTGCTCAGAGCTACTATTTAAATATTTTGCTTATATACTCCAAAACTCAGTGGACCCAGTGCTAGTTTCTGTGCATTGGAGTATTTTCTAGAGTACTTTTAAGAAAACGTTTTGTAGAAGTATGTATTAATCATAAATTCAGGTAGTAAAATTTTTAATGTGAAATATGAATGCCATGTATTTTAAGTTTTGTCTTTTTAAAATGAAACGATACCAAATATCTTTTCAATGTTGATACTCTTTTCAAGTTCACATTTCTAAGAATAAGCCTGGATTTACTTAACACAGTATATGATTCCATTTATATGAAGTTCAAGAACAGGCTAAACAAATCTATACTGATGAAAGTAAGAAAAGTAGTACCTGGGAGATAGAATGACTAATGACTAGAAAGGGGCATTAGGGAACTTTTCCTGGATGTTAGAAATATTCCATATTGTGGTCTGGGTGGTAACTCTATTAAAATGTAAAAAGTTAACAAGATGTTAACTTAAGATTTGTGTATTTACTGTCTGTAAATTATATATAAATCAAACCAGAGGAGGAGGGGAGGGATATGGGTATCTAGCCCTTTGTTCTGGTCACCAAGTATGAATCGATGTAAGAAATACTTTACTGTTTATGAAGATAGGGTACTTCAAAATTAAAACTTTATATTTAATTATAGGTATACAGAGTATGTTTTTCACATATACACTGTTTTTAGACTTGAAAATACTTCCTTTCTTACAGATCGAAAGTAGTGTTCCCTCCCAACTCCTGGAGTCAGTGCTACAAGAGCTGAAAGGCTTGCAAGAATTTCTAGATAGAAACTCCCAATTTGCAGGAGGGCCATTAGGAAATCCAAAGTAAGAATAAGTGGGATTTATTTACTCATTTATTTCCTTTTCTTTTTTTTTTCTTTTTTGCTGAGATATAATTTACATATTATAAAATTCATCCTTATAAAATACATAGTTTAGTGGTTTTTAGTATAGTCACAGGTTATGCAGTCATCACCACTGTCTAATTTCAGAACATTTTCATTACACCAAAAAGGAACCCTGTAACCATTAGCAATCATTCCCTGTCTTAGTTCATGCTGGAGTAACAAAAATACCGTGGACTGGCTTAAATAGCAAGCATTTATTTCTCACAGTTCTAGAGGCTGGAAGTTTGAGATCAGGATGCCAGCATGGTCAGGTTCTGGTGAGAACCCACTTCTGGTTTACAGAAGGCTGCTTTCGTTCTGTGTCATTATAAGGCAGAGAGAAAATGAGAGAGCAAGCTCTCTGGTGCCTTCTTATAGGGTTATTAATCTCTCACCGGGGCTCTACCTTCATGACCTCATCTAAACCTAATTAGCTCCCAAAGGCCCCACTTCTAAATATCATTATGGGGTTAGGGCTTCAACATATGAATTTGGCGGGACACAAACATTCAGTCCATAGCACTCTCTGGCTCCCCTCTCTCAGTTCCTGGCAGCCACTAATCTGTCTGCTGTATGAATCTGCCATATTCTGGATCTTTTATATAAGTGCAAATATACAATATGTGGCTTTTTGTTTTTGACTTCTTTCCCTTGGCGTAGTATTTTCAGGGTTCCTTTGTAGTCATTTCGTTTGTCAGTTCATCAGTTGAACAGATCTTCAGATACATTTTCTTCTTAAATTTTAATGTTGCGGAAAAAAATGCATTGCCTTTCTGATTTTCTTTCCTCTGTGTCTTGTGCTTACTTTGAAATTTTTATGCTTTTTTTTCTTGTATTACTGAAATTCAGAAATTACATCATGTCTTTAAGTATGTTTTCTTTCAGTGGGAATTGAGAATAAAATGTGTTCAATGAGCATTTAGACCTAAAGACTTAAGCTTTGATATATTTCTTTTATTACTTTTTATTTGCACCATTGCCTCTTTTCTGTTTTCTTTGGAGAATCATATTGACTCTCCTGAATCTAGCCTTAGTTCTCTTCCGTAATTTTCTTCCCTCCCTTCTTTCTCTCCTTCCTTCCTTTCTTGCTATGTGTGTTATGTAGATTGCAGAATTCCTGGAGTTGATGTTCTCAGTCATTTTACTCTATTTTAAACTAGCATCTGTTCAATTTCTCTGATAAATTTTTTTCTGACTATTATATTTTTAATTGCAAGAGCTTTTATTTTCTGATTTTTCCTTTTTCATGGCAACTAGCACTTGTAATATGAATCCCAAATCTCCGTGAGAATACAACTGGAATTGTTTTTCAAGTTTTTCCATTTTTCTTGACACTAGTTATTTTGGGGCTATTGGTTTCAACTGCCTAGTATTTTTCTTTTCCAAGCTAGCAAATATATTTGGTGGTATTTTTCTGGCTCTATTTATAAATTAATATTTTTATTTATCAGCCGTTGTGGTCAGTGTTCAGTAGCAGACCATCATGTAAGTGAAGCCCTTGTGAAGCTCACAGGGTTAGTTTTGACCCAGAATATGGTAAAATGCTGCAATGAGGTCAACAGATAGATTTTTCCCTTAGTGTAAGGTACAGTTTCTCTCAAGTGAGTTGGGAGACTGTAGTGGTATCAACACCCTACAATATTTAATGTAGCTCCAGAGGAAATCTGGGCCTGATGGAAGGGACAGCCCGATGAGATTTGATGCTTATTTTGTTTATTCTTTGCCACCTGGCTCTTTGCATCCTTTAATAATTGGATCTTAGGGAAATTTATACGCAATTAGAGCTTGAAATTGCAAACAGATTGAAATAAAGGACTTATAACAACAATGGGGCACCACAGTGGATTTCATTTATATGAAATATTTAGTAAAGGCAAATTTATAGACACAGAAAGTAGATGAATAGTTGCTTATGGTAGAGGTGGGAGAAAGGGAGAAATGGAGATTGACTGCTAATTGTGGGGGGAGGGGTATGTTCTAAAATTAGATTGTGGTGATAATTGCACAACCCTATATGAATATGTTTTAAAAAATTAATTTGTAAATTTTAAATGTTGGATCATATGACATATTAATTATAGCTCAATAAAGTTGTGAAAGACAAATACACGTTCTGGAATTTCTGTTTCAGTACTACTGCCAAAGTGCAGCAGAGGCTGATAGGATTCATGCGTCCCGAAAATGGAAATACCCAGCAAATGCAACAGGAGCTGCAGAGGAAGTTTCATGGTAAGTTATTGCTTCCGATCAGTTAAATGTACGTGACCCCAGAAAAGAGTTTTATTAGTTGAACAGAAAACAATGAACATCTCAATAAGATCAGTTTGTGGTAACAAATATTTTTATTAAAATATCATCACTGTGATTGGGAAAAGTAGAACAATATGGATGTCATGTATTTCCGTAACTTTTAGCCTATACATTTTTTCCCTTCCTCAATCAGAAAACATGATATACACCTTTTTAAATGAGTTTTTAATTATAAAATATACATAACATAAAATTTACCATTTTAACTGTTTTTAAGTGTACATTTCAGTGGTATTTAGTACTTTCATATTTTGCAAACATCAACACTATCTGTAGAACTTGTCCCATCTTCCCAAACTGAAACTCTCTATCCATTAAGTGTTAACTCCCCTTTTTATTCTGCCCCCAGACCCTAACACTCACCGTTCTTTTTTTTTCTGTGTCTGAATTTTACTACTGCAGTTACCTCCTGTAAGTGAAATCATACAGTATTTGTCCTTTTGTAATTGGCTTAGTTTATTCAGCATAATGTCTTCAAAGTTTATTTGTGTTGTAGTGCATGTTGGAATTGCCTTATTAAGACTGATTAATATTCCATTATGTATATATGCCACATTTTGTTTTTCCATTCATCCTAGTAGACACTGGGATTGGTTCCACTTTTTGGCTATTGTGAATAGTCTTGCTATGAACATGGTATACAAATATAAATTTGAGTCCCTGCTTTCAATTCTTTTGTTATATACCCAGAAGTGAAATTGCTGGATTACATGGTAATTTGATTCTTAAATTTTTGAGAAAATGACATACTGTTTTTCATACCAGTTGTACCATTTTACATTTCTACCAGTAATTCACAAATGGTTCCAATTTCTCTACATCACCAGTTATTTTTCAGTTTTTTTTTTTTTGTTCGTTTGTTTTTTATCCATTATTATGGGTATGAAGTGGTATCTTGTGGTCTAGTTTGCATTTTACTAATGATGAGTGACACATCTATAGAGTTAAAAATGTGAATCAAGTTTTTGGTTGTATTTTTGCTATTATAAATAATAACTAAGGAAAGAGTAAAGGAACTAAAAAGTTCATATGATCAATCATTCCAGATATGAACTGGAATAATAAATTATTGGTTAAATTTTGCCTGTCATTTAATTTTTTAAAGTCTTTTGTCTTCTATTTTTTGAGCCAGTTATTCTGGCTGATAGAACTTGGCTAATTAAGGCTCAGTCATTTACTTTGATCCCAACGTACTTTCTTCCTGCTGGCTCTAGTTTTCTGTTACCATTTTGTAAATTCTTCAGTACTGCTAATGGCACTTCAGTAAGGCCTTAAGCCTGACAATACCAAGCATTAGTTGTAAGGAATTATACAAATGGGAGCATTCAAATTGCTGGCAGTATACGCTGAAATGACCATTTTGTAGAGCAGTTTGGTCATATCTAGTGAAAGCTGAGGATGCATATATACCAAAGCCAGCAGTTTCACTTCTAGGTATATAACCTAGAACAGTCTTTATCAGACATTTTTTTCCCCACAGTAAGAAATACATTTTATATTATAACACATGTTTAAAAGCATGCACACAGAACTAAAATAAAATTTTAGAAAATAACTATACCTGTGTTATACTCTAATATTTCTTGTTTTATTCTATTTTATTTCTTCTTTAAGAAAAATAAAAGCTGACCGAATTGATTTTATGATTCATCAGAGCATCTTAATCTAGGGTTTAAGAAACTCGGTCCTAGAGAGACTTAACTGCACTTTCCAGGAGACCTTTTTTAAGGCTATTCATTGCATTATTGTTTCAATAGGAAAACCGAAAAAAATACAAATGTCCTTTAGGTGGACAATGGACCTAATTGTAGTATACTTACATAATGAACACTAAGCAATCAAAATAAATGTACTAGGTTTATATTTATCAATATGGGTAGCCTGCAAAAATATAATTAGATATATAAAGCAATGGTGTACATTGTTTAAAAACAAATATTTTTATTGTTTATGTGTACACACACAATGTACACTGTGTGTGTGTGTGTGATGAGCAGATAAAAACACAAATTCAACAACTCGTGATCATGGTTGCCTGTGATGGGAGAGAGAGAACAATGAGGATTTCAACCTTAACTAGTAGTTTTTATTTGAGATAAATTATTGTTTTACTTGCAATAGAATAACCTATGTCACTTTATAAAACTTTATTAATTGTATTTTGCAATTAGAGGCTCAACTGAGTGAAAAGATTTCACTTCAGGCAATCCAGCAATTGGTTCGAAAATCATACCAGGCTCTGGCTTTATGGAAACTCCTTTGTGAACATCAATTCACTGTCATTGTAGGAGAACTTCAGAAGGTAGGATTTTTTTTTCCCCTTAAGTTCATACTGTTAATACTATGCTTAGTTTGTTTTATTTTGTGTGAGCTTTAATCTTACACATCAATTTAGGAGGGGATTATTTTGGGAAGCACTTAAGTCACGGTAAAGTTAGTATGTTATAGAAAGATTACACTAAAGATCGAGGGATTCACTTTGTTGGAGCCACAACTTTTTACAGTACATGAGAACTTTAGAGGGCATGTGAATGAAATCTTACTTTACCAAAACTATTTTTTTAAAACAGTAGATTGTAACCTTTATTTGGGCCACAGATCCTTTTGGGAAACTGATCAAACTGTCTTTCCCCCACCCTCAAAGAATTCATACAAACAAAACCACAAAATTTTTGCATGTGATTTTAAGTTCACAAATCTTAATTCAACATTCCTACTTTAAAGAAAGATGTTTACCATGTGGGAAATAAATGTTTCTTGTTTATCTTGCCGTTCTCATTTGAATCCTTTTTAATGAAAATGATAATTTGCATTCATCTAAATATTAGACAAGTTATTTGGGGCAAATGTATTTCTTCCTATTAATTGTGAACATTTCTAAACATACACAAAAATAGAGCCAGTACTACAACTAGTCCCCATATATACTTGTATTCAACATTTCAATTTTTTACCAACTTTGCTTAATCTATCTTTTTTTCTTTACTGAATTATTTTAAAGTAGATCCAGATATCACATTATTGCACTCCTACATACTTTAGTATGTATGTCTTAAAAAAGATAGACATTTCTCTGAATAACGTCATTATTACACTCAGCAGCATTAACAGTAATTCTTTGGTAGCATCTAAAATGAATTTCTCTGATTGTCCTAAAAATAGCTTTTTAGGACAGATTGGTTCATTCAAATCACAATCTAAAGAATTGTTTCACTTATTGAATTTGATTCTCTTAAATCTCTTTCAGTTTAGAGTAGTTTTCCCTTTTATTTCCTTGCTATTGCCTTGTAGATATTGGGTCATCAACCCTGTGGAATGCCCAACATTTTGAGGTTGTCTTTACCTTCCTTGCAGTAAACTTGTTCCTTTATTTCCTGCATTTTTTGTAAAATGGGGTTTAAATCTACAGAAGCTTGCTTGAAGTTCAAGTCCATTTATTTAAGGAAGAATTAAAATATTTCATAGGTAGTAGTTTGTGTGTCATACTATATTAGGTGACACAAAAGGTTTGATTGTCCCACCTTTAGTGATACTAAAATTGATTGCTAGATTCAAATGGTAAATCCAGTCCTGCCATTGTGAAATTCTCCATCAGACTTTCATCATCCATTGATGATCATTGAATGAGTTATTTCATTTAGAATTACCGAATGGTAATTTTCTGAATCTGACATCTTCTATATTAACTGCGATTCTATAAAACATAATTTTCCCTTAGTGCTATTTGGTTACCCTGAAATGTTTAATTCTTGACTTTTAAGTACAATTTTCAAAGTTAAAAGGCATTTCCTTAGTTCTTTTCAATAATGTCCAAAGAGTTGTTTTGTTAGTGGTTTTATTTCTTTGAAATACATACTTAAAAAAAAAAAATACACCCTAATATGTTTAATTATGAAAACTTTTCCATGCCAGGTAGAATAAATGTTATGGGGTAATAAACATAAATTTAGGTAAAATTTTAGCCTGTGCATCTTTTTTGTGACCCATCTTCAAAGCTTTATTCCTTGCATCACAAATTTTGTGCTCAAGGAATGCAAATTAAATATTAGTTCAAAAATTTGAACACCAATTATATATTTGCTGAAATTTAGAAAAAATAGTCAAATCACTAAACAGAATGTTTTACTCTAGTTTTAATCACCTCAGTAATTTAGAACTCAATTTAACAAGCAGATTTGTTCAAAATGAAATTAAACTTTAACATTAGGAGGCCCCGAGTAACAGAACTGACATTATTTAGGAAAAAGAAATATAAGCCCAAGATTTTTTTCGATGTAGCTAAATAATTGTTCTTTCCTGGTTATAACTGAAATCAAGACCTGGCTCTAATTTTGGCTCTGCCTGGGCTTTACTTTCCTCATTTGTAAAGTGATAGCTTTGGACTAGACATACTGTGGCTTCTTTTCCAGTTCTGTATGATTCTATGAAAGTTTTAAAAAATGTATTAGTTTGTATAGTTTTAGTATATTTTCTCTTTCTAATTATAAAGTATTAATGTTTTGGTTATATTAAAAATTTTATTTTTTGTGGAAATATGATATTCCTATATATTCGATAGAAGGAAAGATTCTCTTTTATACTCCTAGGAATTTCAAGAGCAGTTGAAAATCACCACCTTTAAAGATCTGGTAATCCGGGACAAAGAACTGACTGGGGCATTAATTGCTTCTCTTATCAACTGCTACATCAGAGATAATGCTGCTGTTGATGGCATTAGTTTACACTTACAGGATATCTGTCCGCTTCTGTATAGTACTGATGATGCAGTTTGTTCTAAGGTATGATGCTTTGTTACCTATTTCAGTGTTTCTTACAGGAGGTTTTGTGGTATGATGAACAGCACACTAGAATTGGAATCAGGAACCATATTTTACTTAATATAGGACCTTGGTAGATTTCTTAACTTCTAGCCTCGGACTCCTATTCTTTGTAAGAATTGGGTTGGAATACATGATTTCTTAAAATACATATATATTTAAGGTTTTCATAAAGAATCTTTGATAGTATTTCTAGGCCATATTTAAAAAGACGATGCTTAAATATGTCTTTCCTTAGAAAGTAAGGAAAATCACTAAAACCTAAAGTAAGTCTATAATAAATTAGAGTTAATTGGGCAATTTTTATTGATCCTTTCCTACAGGTGGAAAAATTTTAAAAAATCAGTATCACATGGACTGCCTGCTGACCAGTAATGTATTGACTAGGCAAGAGATTTACCAGTCAGAAGCTATCTTGCTTAACATATTTGTGAGAGGAATTAAGAATAGCTAGGATTTTTTGGTCAAAAACTTTTCTGCCTAAAATTAAGAAGAAGTAAGTTTGTAGTGTTGTTTTTATTATTGATTATAATTAACCAGATATAAATTTAGACATAGACTAAGACTTATATTGATAGCATCATCTATATGCTTGATTTTATATCTTTTTAAGTTCTTGTCTTCTCTACTTCTAGGCAAATGAGCTTCTCCAGCGTTCTCGGCAAGTTCAAAATAAGATTGAAAAGGAAAGAATGTTAAGGGAATCCTTAAAGGAGTATCAAAAAATCAGCAATCAAGTTGATCTTTCAAATGTTTGTGCTCAGTACAGACAGGGTGAGAAACAAAATGTTCTTATATCTTCTTAAATAAGGAGACAAATTACTGTGTGAGTAAAGTTAGTGATGAAGAGCCTCTTCGCAGAGGCAAATCTTCCTTCAACTTAGGAAATTCATTCCTTGTGTTTTAGTTGTGATGACTGTACTGGCCCCTGCAAAAGCTGTAATGCTTTTTATGTCTTCAAATATATATCTTCAACATTGATGTTTCAGTCCTTGTCCAGTTAAACTACTATTTGTATTTGATTGCTTTCTGTGTTGCATTTAATTTTAAGATGCTTGAAATTTTTTTTGTTAACTCTAAAATATTACCTGCCTGCTCTCTTTAAAATAACTCTAAATTATATCTAACATAATATAAAAGTAATAACTGTTAGCAGAGGTATTGTTTTGAATCCCAAGGTTTTTTTCAACAAGGAGCTGAAACCCTTCTATTTGTTGTTTTAAATACAAAAATTTTTTCCCAATGAAGAAAATAGATTTAATAGCTGCCTTTTAAGCATGTTAGGACCTTGTTCTTTGGTAGAATCATCAGAAATATATTATATGATATTGTTATCAGGGTAACTAATATACAGTAGAAACAGTAATATTGATCATTATTTTTATAAGCCAGCTAAAGAAAAATATCTAGCTTAATAATAAGCTTTAAGTCTTTGTCCTTTTTCTTTCCCCTTAGTGCGTTTTTATGAGGGTGTGGTGGAGCTCTCTCTTACTGCTGCAGAGAAAAAAGATCCTCAGGGTCTTGGACTTCATTTCTATAAACATGGAGAACCAGAAGAAGACATGGTGGGACTTCAGGCTTTCCAAGAAAGGCGAGTATTATTACCTTAGTAGACTGTCAACTTTATGAATAGAGACTTTTCTTTGTGTAAAGTTTGATTGCCTAATATTATGGAAATAATATTTCAAGTATAACCCTTATAGAATTGAATTATGTTTTCAGTTTAAAATGACTTGTTTTATCAGAGGCCTGAATCAGCATTATAATTCCTTGCCTAGGGATAAAATTTCAGTCTGGTGAAAATTCTTGAGAACTTAAAAATGTTTTTGAACTTGCTTCTGTGGTTTTTCTGAGACTATTAATGTCAATTTTAAATGAGATAACTTGGAAACAAAACTTGTTTCCTTCTCTTTCCCCCCAATTTCTAGGTGAAGATTAGTGTTTTATTTTAAAGGATGATTTTTAAATATTCACAAATTAGTAGAGACTGTTAAAGGAAAAATGTCTGTCCATACAGGAAACATATAACCTAAGACACGATTTTTGTTAATACAGTCATTTTTGTGACTTTACCTTTTTATGGTTAACCAAATGCTTCTCAAACCTATTGAAAAGTATGTACTTTCTGTTATTTTTATTTTTTATTTTTATTTCTTTAGTATTTTATTTTATTATTAGTTTTGAGTATATCGTACATTGGTTAGACATTTATATAGTTTATGAAACGATCCCCCAATTGTCATTTTTAAAACCAAATATGTACATATATTTATTCTCAAAAAATTATCTTTAAATTTTTGTGTGTATTTAAAATCAGATAAATCACTTGCTGTCTAATTAATGTAATTGCTCCTTTCCCATTCTTTTTCAGATTAAACAGTTACAAGTGTATTACAGATACACTTCAAGAACTGGTGAATCAGAGTAAGGCTGCTCCCCAGTCTCCCAGTGTACCCAAAAAACCTGGGCCTCCCGTGTTGTCTTCTGATCCCAATATGCTGAGTAATGAAGAGGCAGGACATCACGTAAGGGACATAACATATTTTCATTCTGAAAATACATTGTATTTAGAAGCTCTCTGTGCTCTTGATAACATCATCACCATCTTGGGGAAAGTAGGAGCACTTAGAACTTACCACTTAAGGATTCTTGATTTCTTACTAGGGATTTATAAGGCTAAGAGTTTATGATGTCTAGAAACAGAGCCTTTAACTGGCTAATTTTTACCGTTTTCTTTATTTTAGTTTGAACAAATGCTTAAATTGTCTCAACGATCCAAAGATGAACTCTTTAGTATTGCCCTTTATAATTGGCTAATACAAGCTGACCTTGCAGACAAACTGCTACAGGTAAAAAAATGGTTTTTCATTGCAATATTGTTATTTTATATAAGTAATATAATATCTTTTCCTGGTGGACAAAGTGGACCATTGTGCTACTTTTCTAGTTATTCATCACCTGATTGGGATAGTTTATATTGTGGAGTAGGAGTCACTGGATTATGAATTAGGAGACCTGAACTTCGTTTTAGCTCTACCATTGAGTCACTATGTGACCTCACACATCTCTTCACTACCCTAAGCCTCAGTGTCTCTAGGTCTATAAAATGAATGCATGGCATTTGATAATTTCAAGGATGCTGTGGAGCTCAGAGTCTAGGAATCAATAACTATGTTCTTAGAGTTTATTAAAAGATTTCTAATTGGATTATAATAAATTATTTTTAGCACCGTAATGCAACTATTGTAGCAACTCTTTCATTAACTGTGGTAACACAGTCATTTATAATGAGAAAAATTGCCCTCTCTTTTATCTATTATTGGATTATAATATTGCTTATGTATTCATAAAACAAGGCACACCTACCGTTATCTTTAAAATATTATATTTACTATGTAAAGAGCAAGTAGGTGGTGAGAAAATGTTTCTGATTAACTGTACAATTTCCAGATTGCTTCTCCATTTCTGGAACCACATCTAGTCCGAATGGCCAAAGTTGATCAAAACAAAGTGCGCTATATGGATTTACTCTGGAGGTACTATGAGAAGAACAGAAGTTTCAGTAATGCTGCTCGTGTCCTGTCCAAACTGGCTGACATGCATAGGTATGGCATAACAGCCTCACTGTGAAGAATGATTGATAACCTAGCTACATCTAAGTACATTCAGATTTCAGAATTTAAACAAAACCTCATTCAGATTATATATATGTAGAATTTTATGCTTTTACTTATATTTACCTAAAGTTTACAGTTTTCTTTTTTTCCTTTGTTTTGTTTTTAATAGTATGTAAGAGATACTAAAAGAATACCTAAGACTGTCTCTAGTCAAACTGTCTTCTAAATCCTTTCCTCTAAAGTATGTCTTTAAATTCTCCCTACTAATAATTACTGTTCTTATTTAAAAGAACAAAAACTACCTCTCAAAGGCTTTTTAATTTTAAATGTTCTACTATTCCAGACTACTTTTCCCTACTTGACATTGGTTTAAATTACTGAAAGGTCTTAGAGGATTAAGAACCCTATTAAAGAAAGCATTGGAAATTCTAATTAGATTATCATATCAAAAGACAATTTAATAAAATCTTGGACAGATCATTAATTTGACCCTTTATTTTCATTTGAAATTTTCGTTGCCAAAATAATACAGGCGCTATTTCTAAAAACTGGAGAGTGGTTAAGTAAGGGAGAGGAGGTTGCTGAGGCAGAACTATTATTAAATGAAGTTAATCAGAATGATTGCTTAAAGAGTCCAGACATGGCTAATAGCAAGTGTGAGTATGTGTGTGCACATGCACATTCACACAGCTCACTGACGCAGGTGTATTTATTGTGTATGTGGACTCAAGACTTTTTTGGTATTTTGCCCTTTTTGGTCATAATAGTTATTTGATTTTTATAAGTTCTCCTTACAGAAGATCACATATATATGTGACTTTAATTTCTTTGGTTTTGCTTTAATAAAAGGAAAGGAAAGAAATTTAAAGTAGTAAAGGCCTCGGTTAATTCATAGTGTGTATAATTAAGAATTAACAGCATTATTAAATATTGAAGAATTCACTGTAGTTCTGTATCTTAAGGTTATATAATTCATTTCTTTATCCAGTGTCTGAGTACCTTTTATATACTGTGTTCTGCTGGAAGGACATGGATTGTGCTCTTATCCAGGCCTTCACTACTATCTCATTTCTGAATTTACTCCTGTCATTTGTTTTTGATAGTCATAGATACCATTACCATACAAATTTTTGTAAGCCATTTTTATCACACTACTTATTGTTCAGAAACTTAGAGTGGCTCTAAATTGCCCTTCCTTGACTGTTTATTAACCTTTTTCTTTGTTATAACAATCATTAAATTCTTGTTACAAAATATTCGGAAATTCTCTAACTTTTAAGAATACTCATTATCCATATTTATTTCACACATACACACACCCTAATTTTCTCTTCATGTGAAATACCCTGTCTATCCACTCTTTTGCTCTCAACTTAACCATTTCTTTCCACAATAAAATGTTTTTCCAACTATTAGTTACTGTCTTTCTCACTACATTGTTTTTGCGTATATAAATTGGCAGCTATAGAATGTTCTATTTTAAATAATTTGGAAATAAGTGTTACTTTTGAAATGTTTGGTTCAAGAGGGTTTTTTAGAGATGAGAGGGAAAAGAAAGGAAAACCTTTAAGAAACAGGGCTCCTAAAAATGTACAGTCCTTTATATAACCTTACAAGATGGTCAGTGCTAATTAACTATCATACACATTTGTACTTTGAAAGATAGAATGGAGAAAGGAGTTCATTCTTTTTTCCTTTTGTTTTCTCATAGCTATACAGAAGGACATTTAAGGCTCTCTGAAAGTAAAAGAAAGCCAGTTTTTTTCTGATTCATATTGGAATTAATTGGGATGTCAAAAGTTACATTTATCTACAGGAAGGACTAAATCATAATCAGGGAGGGTTATTTGTTTTTCAAAGGCAGTTTTGATGGCATCAATATTTCTTTGATTAGAATGATAGGCTAGTAGTGGCAGAAAGGAGAGCACATGGTAATGAGATTCAAGTGTGTTCAAGTCAATTTATTTATAACTTGATTCCCCATCATTGAAGAATGATATCAACACTGGAAAAAAATGTGACCACTCTCACTAGTCCACTGCATAGGGAGGAAGGTACTATACAAGGTGTGGGCTCAGGTCACTCCTCTTCCCCAGAAGCCCCAGTCTGGAGCCCTCCAGCCACGTTTCTGCTATCCACGCACACTTTTACCAAGTTCTTCACTTTTTGATATGATGAGCAAAACACACTTGAGTTATTAATATAAAGGGCATATTAATACTATAAATTTAAGATTAATGTAAAGTTTATGTTAATATAAAGATTCAGTCATTAATATAAAGAATCAAAATTCATATCATGGTGAATTATATCATTTATGACATATCCTTCACCTGATAAAATTTCAGTTTTCTGTATTAGTTTCTATGTTCACTATTAAAGGTGGCACATGAACTTTCTTTTCTCACCATTGCCTGATACATTCTCTTATGCCCCTTTATTTCTAAAGTTTATTTTCAGTTTGTTGTGTCTCTTGTTAACATTGTGCAGCTGGATCTTTTTTTAATACATCCCGTGTTTTCTCTTTTAAATATTTTAATTACCACTATATATGAACTTGCCACCTTTTATCTTATACTTTCCTATTGTTCCCCTTGCCCCCACTCTTCCTCTCTCTGGTTACATTGACAGATTTTTCTCTCTTTTTTTGGCATAGAAATTTTCTTCATACAAGTTATGATGGTTACCACTAAATTTAGAGCAAACTCATTAAAGTATTATCAGCATCTAGGTAATATCTTAACATTCCTCTTCCCTCATCCCCAGATATGCTGATAGCTAGCTGCGCATGTCTGTCATAAACACCTTCCTGATCTTGGATTTTGTGTGCTGGATCTTAGATTTTATTCAGTTTTAGTTTTGATTTTTGGATGAGTGTGTTAGCATGGGGAAAGCATGCTGTATGTGCGTATGTATGTGTGTGCACACATGTGCATAGTTACTTTGGATTAGTAAAGTATATCCTCCAGTAACCTTTGTTGGAAACATATACAAATAATAAGCTTTCTGAATTCATCAATATCCAAAAAAAAAAAAAGTCTTTTTTACCCTCAAAACTGAATTTAATTTTGACTGGGTATCAGTTTCTAGATTTAAAATATTTACCTGCTAAAATTTAAAAATATTATACCATTTACTTCTAGTATCTCAGATGTTCACTAATAAATCTGTTGTTAATCTCAAAAAACGTTACATTTAATACTTGTTGATCTGAGAGGTTGCTAACAACTAAATGTGTTAGTTTGTTTTTAATGCCAAAGTGCTTTACAATGTGAAAGCCAGGTCTGATAGAGTTAGGGGATTCGAAGGAACTGAAGCTGTTGACAGTGAGGTGGATACATACTTGGAACTTTCTGACACCCATCGGTCAGTTCACCAGCAAATCGATTTTGAGCACCAGTGATGTTCAAGACATGCAAGAAAGAGTAGTGGGCAAGACAGACACCATCCCCACTTCCAAGGACCTCTCATCCTAGTGGGTTAAAGACCGTAAACAAATAAGTGCAGCTTCTATAAATACAATAATATAGTAGAAAGCGCTTAGGAGTTGGGCATCTTCTTTAGCTAGGATGCTCAGAAAAACTGTCATTAAAATTAAGACTCAAATGACAAGAATAAGCAACTGTGTAAAGAAATGGAGGGAAAGTGGTCCAAGCACAAGGAACAGTAGTTTATGCACAGACATTGCATCAAATATAAGTTTATCATGTTTGGGATACAAAAATAGCCAGTAGGGTTAGAGCCAATGAGCCTGGGAGCAAGTGGAAGGAGATGAGGTTGGAAGAGTAGGTGAAGGCTATTGGAGGGTTTTGAGAAAGGACGTGACATCTGATTTTTGTTTTTAAGTGGTCATTCTAGTGGCTCTCTGGAATATGAAATGTAGTATTGGCTATATTAAGGCAGAGATGTGAAGAGTATGAGGAGCAATAAAGAATGTTGTCCTTAATATAATTTTAGAAGATACTAAGTTTTAATATTCTGAACTAAAATTTTAATTGGAAGTTACTTTTTTGGACACAAGCATAAGTATCTCTTTATCTGTTTCCTTTAATTGTGGATCTCTTTTATTAGAAATCCTCCAATAATTTTTTCAAGTTTCAGATAACCTTTTATGTTCATTTGGTATAAAATAGTACATCATAATTGAAATACTTGTATCTTGGATCTTTATTTATTTCCTATAAATAAAAATAAGTGTTTTTCCCCCAGCACAGAAATTTCACTTCAGCAGCGACTAGAGTACATTGCTCGAGCTATTCTTAGTGCCAAAAGTTCCACTGCCATTTCTTCAATAGCTGCAGATGGTGAATTCCTTCATGAATTAGAAGAAAAAATGGAGGTAAGTGCTAAAGATACTTAAGCTTGTTCACACTGGGAAGTAGCCACATGTCATTTCACTTTCTCTTCTTCCCCTAGTAATAATAGGTCTAAAGCAGTCAGTATTATTAATTCTGATCTCTTCTGTTGTATTTATATTTATTTAGATATAAACCTTTTAAAAGATTTCAAGGATACAGCATTTGGGTCATAGGACATTGCTGTAATTTAAGTTTTCTCTATATCATTTCTACAGATTTTTTCCAACTGCTTTAACATGAAGCAGATTATATCCCCATTCACCATTTATTCTGGAAGCTAATAAGTAAATGCATGAAGTAGAGTAGGCTAAACTGCCTTAACTAAGAGACCCAAAAACGTTTAATGGTCCAAATACAAAAGCTTCTTATTCACAAAATCCAGAATGGGTGTTCCTGATTGGCAGGTGGCTTTCTTCTGCTTGGTTGATTTGGGGACATCAGTTCTATTTTCTGGCTCTACTATTGTGAGTAGCCTCTTCAGTCAGGGAGGAAAGGAAAAGGATCATGTAAGGAACACATTCACTCTTCAAAACCTCAGCTCTGAAATGACATACTTTACTTCCACTCATGTTTCTTTGCAGAGAGCTTACTCTTATGTCCATACTTCTCTACAAAGGAGGCTGGAAAGTATGGTCTAGCCATTCCTCTGACTATAGTCATAGAAGGCATGGGTATTGGTGGGCAGCAGAGACTCTGCAACAGTACACTTTCTGTGAGATATTTTATGTTATGAAGAGTTGCTAGTCTATTATCATAGAAGTCTTTATTTATACGTTACTTTTCATTTAACAAATTTAAAGTCAGATTCTAGGACCTATATGATTGAGTACCAGTTGATTTTTCATAAAGAAATTAAGACTTCTTTTTTTCTTTCCCAACTAGGTTGCTAGGATCCAACTTCAGATCCAAGAGACACTGCAAAGGCAATATTCCCATCATTCTTCTGTACAGGATGCAATTTCTCAGTTGGATTCTGAGCTAATGGACATAACTAAGGTAATTTAAAAAACAAGTAGAATTCTCATAACAGTCAAGCAGTCACTTAATATCTACAAATTCCTTGTTTTTTTTGCATTTAATTTTTTGTTTCATGGGAAAGATTAACCTACCCCTACAAAATAAGCCATCTTTTGTGGCATGTCATTGAGCTGACAAATCACTGCTGTGGTATCCGACTGTTACAAAGAACTGAGTTTCTCTTTACAGGCCAGTGGCTATCAAAAATCTATCAGCCTCACGTCGGGGCTTTGTTAAAACTCCTGCCAGCTATTTTATTGCCTTACTTCTTGTCTTAAGAAAAGTAACATCTTTATGTAACTCTCTCAGCTGCTCCATACTCTTGCAATCAGTTAGTTCCTTCTTCATTTATTCTTGGCTTCAGTACCCTTAAGTACCCTGAGATTTGTCAGTGTTTCTGTGATTCTTCAAACCCTACTTTAGACAACACTAATTCTAGAAGAAAAGTCACTGCAACATCTCCCAGCCAGGAAAAAGCACAATGCACACATACTACAATCTATTTGAATGTATTTACCATTCATTCAGCACTTTTAGAGTTATGACCAGCTACACAGCATATCTTTATATCATATTTAAGGAATATTATATAAAATTTGGGGTTCTTTTTAACTTTCAAGTAATGTTTCACTATTAATTTCTGGATGCTGACCTCTGGTTGAATGTATAATGTTGGCATTTTCTCCCACAGCTTTATGGGGAATTTGCTGACCCATTTAAACTCGCAGAGTGTAAACTTGCAATAATTCATTGTGCTGGCTATTCAGACCCTATATTGGTGCAGACACTTTGGCAAGATATCATAGAAAAAGGTAAGTGTTCACTCATAAGTATATTTAGCATACATTACTTAGTGACTTGGTAAAGGAACATAAACTGCTAGCGGCTCATATATCTAGGGCTCATGAAAACTATGAGTAGAGGGTATATGGAGGGTTACCTGGATATGGCAGGGGGTGGTCCTCTAATGCAGGGGTCCCCCAACCCCGCTTCTCCCATACCCACCACAGACTGGTCCTAGTCTGTGGCCTTTTAGGAATCAGGCCACATAACAGGAGGTGAGCAGCAGACAAGCAATTGAAGCTTCATCTGTATTTGCAGCCGCTCACCAGGGCTAGCATCACCGCCTCAGCTCCACCTCAGATCATCAGGCATTACATACATATAGTAGCTCCAGTCCCTGGTGCCAAAAAGGTTGGAGACTATTGGAGACTGCTGCTCTAGAGAATGTTCCCAGTGAGTGAATATTAGAGGGAACTCTCAGTGTCATTTTTTTGGTTTATGCTGTTTAATAAGGGAGACTGAGACACTTCCCTCAGAATCTCATAACCAGTGCCTAGGTAAGACAAGAGAGTATACCAGAAACTAACAGAAACAGAATCTGCTCATCATATTAATGTGAATATCTGTTCTAGGGTATTTTGAAGCAAAATAGCCAGTTTAAACACTTCACATTAAAAATAAATTGGGTTTCTAATGACATGCCTCTTTCTTACAGAATTGAATGAAAGTGTGACATTGAGCTCTTCAGATAGAATGCATGCTCTTAGTTTGAAGATTGTGCTCCTTGGCAAAATTTATGCTGGCACACCTCGCTTCTTTCCTTTAGGTAAGCAGTAACCAATCTCAGGTGCTGTCATGAGCTTTTTTCTTTTGATGGTTTTCTTCATTGACATGGAAAAATAATGATCTTTAAAGTGAAATCATTTCTTTGTTGCTATTTAGGTGAGCAATTTAATTCTACTTCTCCAGAAATAGACCTCCAAAGAATAGCAGAATTCGTTGATGAATAGTTGGGTACGAAACTTTGTTTGACTGACATTCCAAGTTTATATATCTATCTCGAGATAGGGTTGACTAACAGACCATAGTGATTATATTGTTGGTACCCTATACAAACTTGTGAAGAAAAGAAAAATAGCTAATGTTTTTGTGAATGGGTACTTTATGATTGATTCAACTGCTCTTATTTGAAGAAATATTTTTCTTTAAAACAGGAAGTAGTTGTGTTAAAAGTATAATTTTTGAACCATTGTCTTAATCAAATATGCTGACTATAATTGTTATATAGATGATTCTAATTATTATGAGCTATTTGCCAGCCTATCATGTTTTCTTCAGTTGTGAAACAATAGAATCAACATAAATACATTCATAAAATAGAATGTTAACCACTTTATGTTTTTGAAAGATGTTGAGAAACATGAGAATGCTCATAACATAATATTAAATTGTTCTTTACAAATGAGGATACAAACTTGTTTACAGACCATCTCTGATTTAGTATTTATTCCCTGGACGTGGTAAGAAATAAAATGATTACAATCATACCCTTATTTCTTGTAAGTACAGCATGAACTGTTATGCCATTTCATTGACCAGAAATATAAAGAGCAAACGTCTGTCTGTCTGTCTATCTGTCTATATATGAAAGTATGTGAAACATGACAATTTTAATACAAAAGTTCACATTCTACACAATCCCTTTCGTGAGGGGTATTGACTTAGATTTTTAATGTTGGACCCAATTAAGTTTAGGGTAGAAGAGGCCTGCCTTTTTCTATCAGTCTCTCAATGGCAAACAAGCTCAGGGAATTTCAAACTAGAACAAGATTAGAGTTTTTAGGATTTTTCTTAGCCGTCTGAAGTCTTTATATGGTAAATTCTAGGGGAGATCTAGGTTCAGTGGCAGCTTTTTTAGTGATTCGTCTTACCCATGGATATTCACATTGGTATCATTTCAGGTATCATAAATATAAATTTAAATGTTACCCATAATCTTATTTATGATATGACATGTAGTAAAAAGTGAAAATGGGTAGCACATTAAAACCATCAAAATAAATAACTTATGGACCTGGGAGAAGTACAGCATTAAAAACATTTAATATTTCTAAAATTAGGATGCAATAGCCTTTTGAATTGAGACTATAGTATATTAATACATTAAAGAAATATTATCAGTGGATTCTCTCCTTTAGTGGGATTGTGGATGGTCCCTATTTTCTTGTACCTTTCTGTATTATCCAAATTCACTAAAATGTCATTTTTTCTCATAGCTTTAAATGTAATTCAATGGCTTTAGCATATCACAGTTTGCAGCCATTACCATAAACTTAGACCATTTTCATCACCCCCAAAAGAAACCATGTAGCAGTCACTACTGACCCCTTTCCACCCTCCAGCTCTAGGCAGCCACTAGCCTACTCTCCATCTCTATAGATTTGCTGATTTTCTATTATTTTTTAATTGCTTTTTTAAAAGGATTTCCCCCTAGAAACTGCTCATTTATGAATAAGGCCTATTTTTTATTATCAAGAGTTAACAGCCCTATAACAACAACAAAAAATAATAATCATGTGAGGTGAAGGATGTTAACCTTTTGCTAAATGTTTGCAGTATATATGTATCAGATCAACACATTACACCTTGAACTTACACAATGTTATATTTCAATTATATGTCAATAAAGCTTGGAGGAGGAGAGTAAATCCTAATATTAGATCTCTTTCCTTCCCTAGATTTTATTGTTCAGTTCTTAGAACAGCAAGTTTGTACTTTAAACTGGGATGTGGGTTTTGTAATACAGACAATGAATGAAATTGGAGTGCCATTACCTAGACTGCTGGAAGTATATGATCACTTGTTCAAGTCACGGGTAAGGAAAATATTAAGTAAAATCATTTATTTAAAGTTAACTTTTTCTAGATATAGGAGTGGCATGTTCTGCTTGCATGTTTATAAATATCTCATTGTCCAGTACATCACAAATTTGCTTTGTTGGTTTAGTATCAGAAATTACCATAATTCAGACTTTTAAAACCAATAGTGAGAGTGGTTTTGCTTTATATCATGACGAAAATCAAATGTTACTTTTTAATATTACTAACCATAATTTCTGCTTTATTCTTGGTGAATAGACTAAACATTACATTAAGAATCATCATGTACTTTAAAACAACAGAATAACTATTCATTGTAACTTCATCTAAAATATCAATGTTTAAAGATCTTTCTCACCATATTGAACTTTATTAGACTATATATTTTGTAATTTTTATCCTAAGATAAAAGATCCAAATAAAACCCTGTTGAACTAGATCATGTCCTTATTATAATAGCATCATCAAAACGTTGATAATAGTGTTTTACAAGGCACTTGTGTATCTCATTTAAGCCTCACAATGAGCCTATCATGGAAATAAGCAAGTAGTAGTATCTCCTTTTCTACTACTTCTGAAAAGGGCAGAGATGTTAAATAACCTGCTCAAGTCACATGGCTAGTAACTTGTAAAGCCAGAACTAGAATTAATATTCTTTTGCTACTAATTTAGTCTCGCATTTACAACATCAGACTAAGTCTGCATAGGTTCACAGTAAAAATGGTGTCACAGCTGTTGGGAAGAGATGGATTTTTTCTCTTACCTCAGGTTCCTAACAGGAAATTTACATGCTGTACAAAGTGGATTGGTTCATAAGTAACATCACAATGCAGTTTTCAATGTTGTATAAAAATTAACCATAACCAGATATATAATTTAGTAACCACATAATAATAGTAAATGCTTATTTCAATGTCAGCAAGCTTTTTCCTTGGACTTTGATGGCTGTTTTAACTACGATAAATGGTTAAAAAATCAATTGGCGCCATTTGACTTTTAACTCAGGATGTGTATTTTCTTTATAGGATCCATTCTGGAACAGAATGAAGAAACCACTGCACCTTTTGGATTGTATACATGTACTATTGACAAAATATGTTGAGAATCCTAGCCAGGTCTTAAATTGTGAGAGGTAACTATGAATTAGATATTGTATTATAGAAAAAACTTTTAAATGCTTGTAATAAATATCTGGGTAACAAATTTAAAGAGCACGGAGAAAGATATGGAAATTATAAAGAAGTGTAGATTTAGGCTCATTTGTTAACAATAACTATTTGAATGATATTAATCAGCATATATGAACAGTTAGTTTTTTTCCATTTTTCAACCCTTGTTCTAAATTGTTTCTACAAGTAAAAGGTTATACTTAGGAATTACTTCTAAACTCTTTCTGCTTTGAATTAGTGAGCTAAGACACTTCAGTTATGGCTTTGTGATGTTATTGGCCATTTTAAGATATATTTGTTTGAAAAGGCCAAAAGAATGTAAGTAATTTAATATTAATTTAAGGGAGCCATCCCTTACTGCTTCCTTCTCATTATAATAATCTTCAGAAGAAAAATGGTGATTGTGTGAGAATCTACTTCCTACCCCCTGAGTTTCCATCTCCGTTTTCGTCTATTTGCCATGTACTTAATCTTGTGGTCTTCGCACTTCTGTGGGAGTATAAGGTTAGCAGAAGTTGGAAGGAAGTCATATAGGAAGAAATATTTCCAAATGTATACAAATGTACAGATAATTGATCAGGTGTCTTTTCCTTTACAGGAGAAGATTTACAAATCTCTGCCTGGATGCTATTTGTGGTTATCTGGTTGAGCTCCAGTCTATGAGCTCTTCAATAGCAGTACAAGCCATCACAGGGAATTTTAAATCTCTTCAGGCTAAATTAGAACGGCTTCACTAATTATTGTAATGTATTTTTATCCACTCATTTTTATCTGTAAAATAAAATCTCAGGTGGGTCCAGATATCAGGTGCTCTAAATCTAAGAAATTAAGAACAATTTTAATAGAAATGTGTTTTTAATAACTGGCTAGTATCTACAAACAGTACATTTGCCAGATGAATTCTTTTTTACTACTACTGTTTTAATCAGGTTAAAAAACAACTGAGGTAAAATTATTTTTGATCTTAACACAAGGCTAAAAATATTCGGAAACTCTAATTTTGAATTTTATTGCAGGTAGAACAGAAATTTTGAATTTATAATATTCATTTTTAAGTTAGTCCAAGGATATTGATATCAAAACTTAAATAGGCTAATTGAGCAGGTCATTCCCATAGTACTGGATTTTACAACAATCCTTAAATATGGAAGAGACAAACACTGTCTCTTTTAAAAAGTTATTTAGGTATAAGGTTTATCCTTGGAAAGAAATTTCCTCTAGCTACCAATTTTGTCAATTATAATTCTTAATGATTAACATATGTCTGGTTGTTTTTGAGCAGATGATAAGCTTGTAAGTAATATTCTATGTCCTGAACACCTAAAAAGGGAGATACTGTTTTTCCTTAGTGTCCACCCAGGTCTTCTTTGGCCTCCTGACTACTGATTTCATTACGCAATTGTTCTCCAAGCGTGCGTACCTAACCAGCGTCTCAGCATCATCTGGGATTTTGTTAGAAATTCAGATTACTGGTCCCAGTCCCAAACCTTGCTGAATCCAGAATTTGAGGTGAGGCTGAGCATTCTGGTTTAACAAGCCATCTAGGGCATTTTAGTACACGTATGTCAAGTTTGAGAACCACTACATTAGAGGATACAGGTAGTTTGTTGATTGAGCTCCCTATCTGATTCTTCCTCCTCCCTCCCCCCATCAGTAACAACAACCCATGTGTTTTACCCAAGACACAATATGTAAAGCAAAGTAGTGTTTAGTCTTTAAGAAAATTGGAATAATTAAAACAGGTGCCCCAAAGGCCCAGTAATGACGTGTGAGGAGGAAAGAGAGAGAATGACCCGGACTAACAAAAAGGCAAGAATATGGACTTCTTTCCTCTCACTTTTATACCAAGAGTAATTACCTTCTGCCTATTGTCATTAATCCATTTCTGACAATTTTTAAAGAACATTTTGAAAATATTTTTCCTTCCACTTCTGTTCTTTTCTGAAGACTGTTATTTGCCCTTTATGTATTTATTCTAGAATTTAGCTTCCTTTCTCCTAAAATCTTTAATTTATAATATTTAATAGAATGTCAAAATATCACTCATTAGGAACCACTACCTCTCATATTTTTTAGCTTTTCAATTCCTTAAGTTTAGTTTTTTTCAGTATGGAAAATGAATGTATGCTATGCTTTGTTAATTCTGTAAATATAAAATTCTGTCATGTCTGCTTAGAATGAAAGTCTTGCTTAAGTATAATTTAGCTGTGACTCCAGTTCTGCTGGATATATACATAGTTTTGTTTTACATATATGTTTTATATATAATGTATATTATGTATAATATCTAATACATATATCTATGTAATATGTAGTCATTTATATCTAGATATCTAGATATAGCTATATAGTAATACATATAACGATATATTATATATAATACAGTATTTTTATTGTTTTATATATAAAACTATACGTTATATATAAAATATATATAACTGTATATCATTTTAAGTACACTTACACACAAGCACCTTAATGTGTATGTTAAATATACTCAATTCACAATATTGAAGCTACTTCCTTAAAAAGGGCTGCAGGCTAGCCTGCCTGAATGGTCCTTAGGAGTCAGAAATCTGAACCCTGTCCCTTTCATTCACATAGCACCTTTTGAGAAGCTTTAAGAATTCCAGCTGCACACTTGTTTTCAATACCCTTTGGAGAGTAAGATCCCTAAGAGAGAAGAAATTAGGTCCCTTCTTTTTTAATCTTCTGGAACAGTGTTTCTAAAACTTTAACATTTATAGGAATCACATGGATAGCCTTACAAAACATCACTGAATTCCACCTCCACTGTGAGGCTGATACCAGTTGTCAGTGGATCAAACTTGAAATAGCATTGTTCTAGCACTTGTATCCACTGCATTAGTATATTTTGTACTTGGTATTCATGTATTATTTCTTTATAGTGATTATTAAACATATATAGGCAATGAATAATAAATAGAACATAGTTTATGAAACGGTGCAATCATTGTAGGCAGTAAGGTGTCACTGGAGGCTTTGGTTGTGACATTTGTTTTAGATAGATCATTTTAGCATGGCAAAATGGTTAGGAAAGAAGAGAGAAATCTCTTCTGAGTAACTGCAGCATATGTGATATCGACCTTGAAATCACATATGTTCAGCATTTCTTTAGTTATAACATACCTGACTTAACTAATGACTTATTCATTGAACAACTCTCTGCTAACCATATAAAGTTACATAAACTTCCTCCACTTTTATGTATTATATTTAATTTCATCTCAGGACTCTTCCAGATTACGCATTCTCTTCCTCAGGGTACTTCCCACATCCATTTTCCTCTTATTTGTGAGAGGAAAAATGATAGCGATACAGTCGTATCAAGGACACGAAGAACTAAGAACATTGAATCCAAAGGTCTTGAAAGGGCACATAATTTTCTTCCATTTTCTATTAGTTTCTTCATTAAAATTTTCTTAATAAAACTTTTTTCAGAGCATTTCGGAGTCCTCTGGTAAATCATTTAAACTCCTTACTCATAAGGAAATTTTTCTCATAAGCAGATGGGAGCTAAATTTTAGCAATTTTTACACCCAGAATTTTGTGAGAACTAATCTATTTTTCTTCAGTTTTGTTGCTCTTCAAATATTAGAGTAGTTAAAATACTATTTTTACTCTTTAAGTAAACATTACTTCTGCATTATGGCATGTTCAAAATTAACATTTGTTTCAAAACTCAGTTATGCTTTCTGCATTTTAGCCACTCCTAACAGCAGGAAGACTAACTCTTATTAAGATTAATCAATTTACCATGTGGGAGCCAGGACTGTCATAACTCTAGCCCACACCTGAGTGTCCACCCATGTAATGAACATTTCCATTTGGATGACCTCCAAAGCTTCTCAGTCAAAACGTGACCAGATCTTCCTCTCTCTGCCTTCTGTGCACTCCTGTGCAGCCTCCTATATTTTCTACCTCAGTCTTTATAATCTAATTATTCAAATCAGAAACACGGGTATCATCTTTAAATTGTCACTCCAAATCCAATTAGTCACCAATTCCTAAGCAAGTCATTTTCCTCAGTATCCCCCATATCTGTCCAGCTGTCTCACTATTAGGTTTTTAAGGTTTAATCAGGTTACTCTGTTTCAGCGGGATGCCTGCAATAGTCTGAGTGGTCTTTCTGCCTCTGATTTGACCCCTTCATTCCTTTTTCCACACTAAGGTCAGTATTTTAAAAATGTAAAATGAAATACATTATACCCCCACCTTTTCCCTCAGAAGAAATTCCAAATTCCTGGTGTGGCATAGACAAAATAACAAGAATCTCAGTCTCAAGTTAGATGACAAAAATAACAATCTCAAGTTGACAAAAATTAAAATCTCCTTAGTTTAAGCAAAAGAATTTATTGGCTCTCAAAACTAAGAAGTCCAAGTGTAGAGCTGCTTCCACATGGTTAGGTCCAGAGCCTCAATATCACCAGAGCTTTTTCCCAAGGTTAGTTCTGCTCTTGTTCATTCTTTGTTTTCTTCTGCAGTTTGCTCCATAATCTCCTGGGGAATGCAAGCAATGTCAAGTTACTTCATCCTGTTTGCTCTAACCCAGAGATATAGTCAACAGAGAAGTTGTAGGAAGGGACCTGATTGAGTCAGCCTGAGTCATGGACTCAGTCTTGGGGTATAGTGGTACAAGATCATTGCCCAACTCATACAGAACAGAAAAAAAGTGCTTTCCTGAAGAACTGGATGCTAGGCACACAGTCCACTATATCTGTCCACCTACCGTGCTTACCACTCACTTCCTTGTGCTTTGATGAAATATATAAACCCATTGATCCAAGAAATTCAGTGAACCCCAAGCAGGACAGACATAAAATCACCAAAGTGCATCATAATCAAATTCTCAGCAAACTAGGAATAAAAGGGAATTTCTCAGCCTGATAAAGGACATCTATGAAAAATGTACAGCCAAAATCACACTTAATGGTGGAAAACTAAACATTTTCTCCTTAAAATTGTGAAAAAAATAAGGATGTTTCCATTCAACGTAGCATTGGAAGTCCAGTGCAATTTGTCAAACAAAAGGAATATAAGACATACAAGTTGAAAAAGCAGAAGTAAATGCTTATTCAAATAGTCATTTAAAATAACAAGATTATTTTAACAAAATGAGACCTGTACAATGGAAACTACAAAACAGTGCTGGAAACAGTAAAACTTAAAGTGAGAAATATACAGTGTTCATGCATTCAAAGACTGAACTTAACACATCAATTTTCACCAAATTGAAACATAGATTCAATGCGATCCCAACCATATTTATAGCAGGCTCTTTAATAGAAATTGATAAGCTGAATCTAAAATATATATTGAAATGAGAAGTCCTAGGATAACCAAAAGTTTTGAAAAATATATGTGAAGAACATATTCTACTGATTTCCATATTTTTATTATAAAGCTACAGTAATTGTGAAAATGTGGCATTGGTGTAAGGATATACGTGTCAATTAGAACAAAATAAGTACAGAATACAGAAATACATGCACACATGGATAATCAATTTTCATCAAAGCTGCCAAGATAATTTGGTGGGGGAAAGAATAGTCTTTTCTATAAGTGGTAATGAAACAATTGAATATTCACAGAAAAAATACCCTCAACTCTTACTTCATAACAGAAGATTAACTGGGTATGCATTGTCGACCTAAATATAAGAGATAAAACTATGAAGCTTTTGAAGGAAAACTGGAGAAAAATCTTTATGGCCTTGAACTAGGTAAATTTCTTAAAAAATCTGACTCAGAAAAAGTTGGTAAATTGAGCTTCATCAAAATTTAAAATATCTGCTTTTCAAAAGGCACATTAAGAAAACAAAAAGACAAGCCACAAACTAGAATAAAATACTTGAAAATCGTAGATCTGATAAAAGACATCTAAATATACGCAGTACTCTGGTAGTTCAATGCAGAGACAACTATCACCAAAAAAGGAAAGGGAGATTTAGGTACTTTAACCAAGATGATATTTGAATGGCAAACACACGAAAAGATGGTTAACATCATTACTCAGAAGGGAAATGCAGATTAATAAGATATCCAACACATCCACGAGAATAACTAAAATTTAAAAGATTGGCCACTGGCAAGGATGCAGAGTAACTGGAACTCATAAAATGGTTTCTAAGAATGCAAAATGATTAGCCACTTTGGAAAACAGTTTGGCAGTTTCTCTTAACCCAGCTATCCTAGTTATTGCTCCTACGTATTTACTCAAGAGAAATAAAAACCTATGTCCACAGAAAAATGTGTACCAGAATGTTCATACATAGTAGCTTTACTCATATTAGCTAAAAACTGGAAACAACCATCATCTCTATCAACTGCTGAATAAATTGTATATTCATTCAATGGAATACAATGCCCCTACAAGCAACAATGTGTTGT